CCACATTCCCTGGCCTCTTCCTCCTTGGCTAAAGCAATACTAATTGCCAGATACTGTTGGTTTATGATGTAAATCTATTGTAATGTCCATAGGTGTCTGTTATCTTAGGCACTGTTTTGTTGTCATCTCTTCCCCTTCCTATCAGCTTAGCATTGATTTTTAAATGGATAAAGTAGAAAAGCCAGGATGAAAATAAGCATTGCAAAGACTGCCTTTTGTTGACCTAGTATTCTGACTTTTAGGAATTTCTGCTGGGAAAAACAGTTAAGGACAGGGAACATAAAGTGACAAAATGAGAGAGTAACACCCAAGAATAGCCGAGATAAGTACCAGGAGGATTACTCCATGGCTTTGAGGCCAGCCACACATGCTAGGGGAAAAGGCAGCTCAGATAGAGAAGGGAGCACCAAATAAAGGGTGTTGGGAGGTTCCTCTCAGGATGGGAGATGCGTGATCAGAGTAGACTATAGACCGAACATGATTGACACTCAATGTCTCTTTTGCAAACCACAGTACCCAAAAGAAGAGAGAGAGAACAAGGGGGAATGCCCTGCCACAGAGGCAGGGTGGGACGGGGGGGTTGGGGGGTGGGAGGGATGCTGGGACCCGTGGTGGTGGAGAATGGGCACTGGTGGAGGGATGGGTACTGGATCATTGTATAACTGAAACCCAAGCACAAAAATCTGTAAGTCTACAACTGTACCTCATGGTGTTTCACTAATAAAAATTTAAGGGAAAAAAAACCCAAAATAATTTGGAATATCCAAATACATTTAAATATCTCTTGGAGATGTTATGAAAATAAATTCCAATCAATAAAATTACTTAAATTAAAAAAAAAGTTAAGGACATAGGCAAAGGATTTAGCATTAGATTATTCATTGAAAGAAACATTGCTTGGAAAAGCAACCAAACAAAAAGGGAAACAAATTAAATTAAATCATAAATTATATTGATGTTCAAAAATATGATGTATTAGTGGGAAAAGCAAGTTACACATATTTATATAATCTAGCAAGACATAGACCAAATATTAATATTGGGCAAAGGTATTTCAAGGTACTAATTTGTTTTCTTTTTGCTTTTCTGCATTTCCCTTTCCTTTCCCTTCTCTTTGTTGTTGTTGTGATGAGTAGGGGTCACCTTATGGGTCACAGTGTCTCACTTTCTTGTGCCCCCAACCCACAATCATACAGACATGTCAGACGGTGTTGGGGATTGAACGCTTGGTCTCATGCCTACAAGTTACTTCAGGTCCACTGAATTAAAAAAAAAAAAGCTTCTTTTTTTTTTTTAACTTTTTGGGTGACACCCAGTGAGGCTCAGGGATTACTCCTGGCTCTGCACTCAGGAATTACTCTTGCTTGGGGGACAATATGGGATGCTGGGGATTGAACCCCAGTCGTGCAAGGTAAATGCGCTATCCGCTGTACTATCACTCCAGCCCCAAGTTATATTTTTTAAGCCATTCCGAAGGGGTGGATCTTATGTCTTACATACATGAGGCTTCAAGTTCATTCCCCAGCATTAATGGCATATCCCTCCCTGCTCCTTTCCCCAGCACAGGGTATGACCCCACTGTCCCACTGTATCTCCAGGCCACAGCAGCATTGCCTAGAGGTGCCTGATCATCAAGCCATCAGACCAGCACCACTGGTCTGGGTATCACCGGAAGTAGCCCCCAGAACCCCCAGGTCCTGCTGAGTAGCTTTCCTCCCACTTTTAAGTGGTTATTTATTTCTATTATATATATGTATTTCATGTGCAATAAGAACAAATGTCCTCCCATTCATCCCCATGCTCCAGAAGACCTCTTGCTGCGAGTCCTGGAGTGTATGAACAAGCTGAACCTGGTTCTTCTGGCTCTAAGGCACTGTGGGGAATGCTATAGACCCTGGCAAGGCCGTGTCAAGCTGCCTTTCACAAATTCCAAAAACAAGGCTCAGGGATGGTGGCCATCCAAGTTCAAGCCCCAGCACTACTACATAAGGTCTCCCAAACCCTGCCAGGAGTGATCCCTGAGTACAGAACCAGGAGGAAGCCCTGAACAGCAATGGGTGTGGCCCCAAACCCCTCAAACCAAACCCACACCAAACCAACACAAAACCAAGGATGTGGTTCATGCCAGCTCTAACAAAGAAAACAAACAAAACCAAAAATTTTGCACCTGTGTCTGGAAGGTAGCTCAATAATAGAGCGTACACATCTTGTATGTGTGAAGTCCTGGGTTTAACCCCTAACGCCAGAAAAAAAGATAAAGAAAATAAATCCCAAAATCATGTCTTCCCCACCCGGGTTGGACTCCCCAACCTGGCTGATCTTGTAGGTGAGCTCTTGGTGACCCAACATGTTGGTATCACATTCCCAGTTGTTTCATAACCCACTGGTGGGTTAGTCCCTGCCCTCCTGTGTAGGAGTCAGTGCTCAGTAAAACTAACCTCATCATAACTCCAGGATTGTCTTATCTCTCAGAAGCGCCCGTCCCTTGATCAGGGTGAAGGCCAGATGCTCTGGAGCACCACTAGGTCCCTAGTGCACTCATGCAGCTGTGAATCTGCGTGTCAAGGAGAAAAGGATGTCACCATGGCAACCCAGGCTCGCTCAGCCTGTGGGATGAGTCTAATCGCCATGGAGAGGAGGGATGCAGAGTCCCAGCCACCCTGGTGGTCTGGTTTCTGGCAAGCTGCTAAGCGTTGCTCTGCCTCCCTTTCTATATCTGTGAAATGATGCTGAAGTTCCAGGTCCCACTCCCAGGCCTGCTGGGAAATAATCCGTGAATTACAAAGCATGAGAGGAATAGAGCATCCCTAGCCTTGACTTGCCCTCTCCCCACAATTGCTAGGTGTGACTTTGGGCAAACCACTTAAATCTCTGTGCCTCAGATGCTCTCTCTATAAAGAGGAGAGTCTGTGGGATAACCTCCAACATGCATTGTGAGGTGCCTGTGAGAATTTCACGGTCCCAGTGTTGGAAGCAATTCCTTTGTTCAGTTCTCCAATGGCAGTATTTGGTTCACTTTTGCTTGATTACCTCCAGTGATAGAGAGCTCATGTCTGCACCACTTTCTTAGCAGCTGTGACCACATGACAGCTAACTGTAAGGCATTTCCTCTGCAAAGGGTATTTTACTATGAAATGACTGTTTCCAAAATTTAACAGTCCTCTTCAGATTTTCCTCAGATTTTGTATGGAATAGAAATTAGCAAAAAGGAACTACAACCCCAGCTCTTTTTTTTTCCCACTCTTCTTTTGGGTCACACCCAACAATGCTCAGGGGTTACTCTTGGCTCTGTACTCAGGAATTATTCCTGGCGGTGCTTGGGGGACCATATGGGATGCTGAGAATTGAATCCGGGTCAGACACATGCAAGGCAAATGCCCTACCCACTGTGCTATTGCTCCAGCTCCAGCCTCAACCCCAGCTCTTTAAGGTTTCCTGCTGTAGATGGAGCCTAGGTTCATGCACTCCAGATTAAAAATCTCACTTTGACCACTTTCTAGAAAGCTGACGTTGGAATATCATGTGATCTCTCCCAATCTCAGTTTCCTGATCAGTAATCACGGTCCTCTCGTTGTTCATCGATTTGCTCGAGCGGGCCCAGTAACGTCTCCATCATGAGACTTGTTGTTACTGTGTTTGGCATATCAAGTACATCACGGGTAGCTTGCCAGGCTCTGCCATGTGGGCGAGATACTCTCGGTAGCTTGCCGGGCTCTCCAAGAGGAGCAGAGGAATCAAACTTGGGTCGGCCATGTTGGCCGCTTGCAAGGCAAAGGCCCTACCGCTGTGCTATCGCTTGGAATTCTGATCAGTAAATGAGGCTAGAAATACCTCACACATTGTCTGTGAAAACCAAGCACCATAGCTCTACTTTGAGCCATATTCTCTGCCCATGTGTCAGTATTTTTAAATTTGTTTGAAACTTTATTAAACACTCTGATTTACAAAGTTATTAATAATATAGCTGTTTCAGGAATTCAGTGTTCCAACACCAATCCCACCACCAGTGTGACCTTCCCTCCACCAATGTCCCAGTTTCCCACCTACCCCCAAACCCAAATCTGCCCCCTTAACAAGCACAAAATAATTTATTTTATATTGCTTATTATAACAAAATGGCAAATGAAGTTATAAGAAAATAGTTCGGTTAAAGAAAATTTGTGAAAATTGAACCTCACAATGGTGTTACTAAAGTCATTGTTGGAGGACTTAGTGAGCTGTTTGTTGCTGTTGAGTCTTTTGTGTTATTGCTTTTGCTCACTGAACTTAATGGGCTTCTATACAACTCTCCTATCTAATCTGCTGTGCTCCTACTGGGTTATCAGTACTGTGGAATTAGGAGGTGTCACGTGGCCACATATGCAGCCCTGCACTCCAGGTGCTTTGGAACTGGGATGATTCACCAGCTCAGCTCGATGTCTCTTCAAGATGAGTCATGGAACTGTGAAGCTGGGCCACTTATATGTCAAAGGATATTGGGAATGGGTGGGTCACTGGGCCCTTCTGAAAGGCAGGAGTTCGACCCTTCCCCATCCCAAGAAGGCTCCAGTTTTCTCAGCTGGAAATGGGTCTACCTGGGACAATTCATGAGTCTGGTGTCTTTTCAAGGTTAGTCCAGTGTCAGTATTTTTAATAGAAAACTCATATAAGACAAAAGATAGAGGTATGAGGATAGTATGGGATGAGGCTGACAAGCAGTGAGGGGAAGCTATTTTTTCCCCAAAAAAGGGGTTCTGGACCTGGAGGGTCTACTCCTAACACTGACTAGCTGGGGTTCCCTGGAGCCAGTTACCTCACTGTTCTCAGCTTTGCTTTTCTGCTGCACACAGGTGACAGATGGATTCCTGGCTTCCCCCCTTGTTAGTGGTAGAATGGAATTGCATTGACCTTGCCTGACCACTGCTGACCACCTGCTCCACTTTGCTTTCCCCACAGACGAGTATCTCCGGATGCTCAACGTGGGAGTGGCCGAGGTGAAGAAGTCCTTCCTGGGACCTTTGGCCCCGTCCTGCAAGATGGTGCAGATGATGAGGCAGTTTCTGTACCGGGTTCTGCCTGAGGACTCCTACAAGGCGGCCACCGGGAAGCTCCACGTGAGCCTCACCCGACTGGAAGACGGAGAGAGCGTGGTGGTTTCAGAGTTCAGGTCAAAGGAGGAGCTCATCGAGGCAAGGGAGTGGGCCGGTGGGTGGACCTGCAGAGGAGGGCGGGGCCCGGAGGTAGGGGCGGGGTCCAGCCTTTGGACAGAGCCCAGGAAGGGGCGGAGTCGGGGGCAGGGCATTGGCTGGCTGGGGGCGGAGTCAAGGAGGGGCGTGGTCTTGGTGGGCGGGTCCTTGAGGGGGTGGAGTCAGAGGCCAGATGCTGTCTGGAGTTGGGATAGGATGACCAGGGCTGAGTTCTGGGAAGCTGCTAGAGATGAGAGAGTCCTGAAAGATCCTATTCCTGCTTTTCTTGACAGTGTTCCGTTTGCCTCCTTTCCTTCTTGTTGTTTTCTGCTTTCCTAGCTCACTCCTTTTCCTTTTGCCTTGTCTCTGTGTCAGGCACCTGTTCAGAAGATTCTGACACAGAGAAACCCACCGTGCACCGAGGTGCTCGCCATCCGAAGTACTTCAGACCCACGGGCTTAGCCCCTCCTTTGACTTTGCCCTGCTCTTTGTGCCAACCCTGGGGCTTCTCAGAAGTCTCGGTGTGACCCACAGTGGTCCCTAGTTTTCTTTAGGGCCCTCCAGGGCTGGGCTGCAGTGTCTGCCCAGGATTCCACCGCCTTTATGGAATGGTCCCCTCGTCCTGCTCAAGTTCAGTGACCCTTGATAACTGTATTCTCATTAAATGGTTGTTTCTGCGGAAAGTGTGCTTTCAGGGCACTGTTCTAAGTAAATTAACATAAATTTTAGCTATTATTTTTATTTACAGAGCCCTGGATTGAACCCAATGCCGCATGCTTTCCAGACAAGTGTTTTATGGTTGTAATATATACCTGACCCCAGCTAAGAGTTGTTATTACTGGAGTGCCCTGGGTATGCCCGACTTTCTTCCAGAACAGAGTTTTAAAGTATTTCTTTAAAGGTGGGGGGTTGGGCCAAAGTGATAGTATAGGGGTGTTTGCCTTGCACATGGTCGACCCAGGTTTGCCTACTGTCATTCCATATAATTCCTCAAGCCCCATTAGGCGTTAACCCTGAATACAGATCCAGGAGTAAGCCTGAGTATGGACAAGTGTGGTTCAAACAAACAAACAAACAAACAAAATTGCTTTCTTGGGTCTGGAGTGATAGCACAATGGGAGGGCATTTGCCTTGCACGCGGCCGATCCAGGTTTGATTCCCAGCATCCCATATGGTCCCCTAAGCACCACCAGGAATTATTCCTGGGTGCATGAGCCAGGAGTAATCCTTGTGCATCGCCGGGTGTGACCCAAAAAGAAAAAAAAGTGCTGTCTTTCTGGCTCCTTCTAAAAGGGTGTTTTGTCTGTTTGTCTTGGGGCTACACCCAGTGGTGCTCAGGGGTCACTCGTGTTTCTGTGCTTGGAGCACTGTGTGGTGCTGGGGATGGAACTCAGGCCACTTGCATGCAAAGCATGTGCTCTAGACTGTTGAGTTGTCTCCAGCCCAGGATGACGGGTTTGGACTACAAGACTCTGCAGCTCACCCCATTCTCACAGCCCACTGGCCTGGACATGATCCAGGGTGGGGGATGATTAGGTGGAGGCCGTAGACACCTCCTGCACCCACCTCAGAGCCCGCTGGGGTTAGCACCCTGCTCATTCCTCCACCTCCCACCTCTACTGATCTCTACCAAAACACCCACTAAGCCAGCCTCTGTGGCTCTGTACCAGCTGTGTCCTCTGCCTGACTTGCTCTTCCTTCTTCCCACACAACTTCGCTTGCTCCATCAGCATCCAATCACTCCTGCTGGGCATCCTTCCCTCATCACCAGCCTGCTCCATCATGCACGCCTTTACTACAGCCCTTGTGTTCAAGGTCTGTTCCCCTACTTGATTCCTCCTCCTCTTGGAGCATACCCTGGGGAGGGTCTCTCACCCACTGTGACCCCAGAACAGATGCGGATTCAGATCATTGAACCCAGACCCTGGAATAGTACAGCGGTTGAAAACCAACCTGATTTGGATCCCTGGCATGCCTTTTTGGTCCCCTTGGAGTATCCCCAGGAGTGATCCTTGATCACCGAGCCAGGAGTAAGCCCTGCGCATTGCTGGGTGTAGCCCCCAAACAAAGACAAAATTGTTGAATCTCCTTGGATTCGTGGGAACTTGGTGCTAGAAGGGACATCATTCAGTCCCTCTCCCCGCCTTATTTTTTTTCATTTTTTGGGTCACACGTAGCGATGCTTAGGGGCTACTCCTGGCTCTGCACTCAGGAATTACTCCTGGAAGTGCTTGGGGACCATATGGGATGCTGGGAATCAAACCAGGGTTGGCTGCGTGCAAGGTAAATGCCCTACTCATTATGCTATCACTCCAGCCCCCCTCTCTCCCTTTAAATCTGGGATATGAGAAAAGAGGAATGTAACTGTCTTGTCTCGCATGTGTGAGACCCTGGGTTCGATCCCTAGCACTGCAAATAACAATGACAAACACAGTAACAATGCTAAAATAAAAGCTGGACCATCAGGCCCAGGCTGAACCTGGAGGTTTCTGAAACACCAGCTAGTTAGGACCGGGCAAGAATTGAACTTGACACCTTGCTCCCAGGGCCGTGCCTTCATCTTGGGGTTAAGGATTCAGGTCATCAGGGGCCCAGAGGCCTGGATGGATGCAACTTTCCTGTCCAGCGTTCAGGCCTCAGCTACTTAGCACCGTCTCTCCCCACAGGCACTGTACTGCAGCTGTTTCGTCCCTGTCTATTGTGGTATCATCCCCCCAACCTACCGTGGCGTGGTGAGTGTCTCAGCAGGGTGTGGCATGGGGGGTGGTGAGTTGGGGTCCAAGGGTTCCTTGGAGCTTTGGAACCCACATCTGGGAGAACAGAGGAGTGGTCTGAGAAGGCATTGGAACAATGGGAGAGGTCTTGTGTCTTCCACCCAGAATTTCCAGTGCAGATACATTTCTGGGGCTTTCAAATGAACTAACAGCCAGGGTTGTGCTTATCTCTGCATCCAGACACACATTACTGAGTTCAGTATATCAAGATTCTATTGGGGTATAGGGGGCAGGGAGTGTGAAATAGTATTGTGGATAAAGCATTTGGTCTGCGTGTGGCTGACCCGGATTTGATTCCCGGCATCCCTTGTAGTCTCCTGAGCCTACCAGGAATGATCCCTGAGTGAAGAACCAGGAGTAAGTCCAGAACACAGCTGAATATGGCCTTCAAACACAGTGAAACAAACAGGGGCTGGAGAGATAGTACAGTGGGTACAGCAGACCCAGATTCAATCCTTGACATCCCATATGATCCCCCGAGCACCACCAGGAGTAATTCCTGAGTGTTGAGCCAGGAGCAACTCCTGAGCATTGCTGTGGCACAGATACAAACAACAACAACAACAGCAACAACAACAAACAAAACCAAGAAAAACTCCACACAAGCAGAAATATTTAATGGGATGGACAGGTGCTGGTACCCTAGACCTGACGGAGTTAAATTAAGGACCTGAAAGCCAGAGAGATAGGACAGCAGGTAGGCCTCTTGCCTTGCATGTGGCCAACCTAATTTTGATCCCTAGCATCCCATATGGCCACCTGAGCACCACCAGGAGTGATCCCTCAGTGCCAAGCTAGGAGTAAGCCCTGATCACTGCTGGGGGTGGCCCCAAACAAACATTAATAGCCACAACAACAAAATGACCTTGAAATGTCAGTCCTGAAACCTTGAATGTCGGGACTGTGTAGGCCAATGAGGCCCAGCCTGCCCAGCCTCTAACTGTCCATGAAGCACTTGGAGGTCTGGAAAAGGATACAAATTCCCATCCAGTAGGTGGATGGGGCTGGGGGCGTGGTGGGACTGGGGTTCTGTGCCTCTAGCTTCAGATGATGCCACTCTGAGCAGGAGGGTCTGACCACCCCCCTCCTCGTTTAATTTTAATTTTAATTTTTTTTCTTTTTTTGGGTCACACCCGGCGATGCACAGGGGTTACTCTTGGCTCTGCACTCAGGAATTACTCCTGGCGGTGCTTGGGGGGGCCATATGGGATGCTGGGAATCGAACCCAGGTCAGCAGCGTGCAAGGCAAACACCTTACCTGCTGTGCTATCACTCTAGCTACCCCTCCCTCCTCATTTTAGACAGAGAAAATCAGACCCAGCTACTAGTTAGCAACCCTGTAGGTGTCAGTGGCATGTTTGTCACAGTCGATGGTGAGAAGATCAGTATTTTTTTTCCACTTTCATAATGTTGCTAACAAGAATGGATTGCATTCAATATTTCGACACCAGTCCCACCACCATCACACCTTCCCACCACCATTATTTTGAATTTTCCACCAGCACTCAAACCTGCCTAACAGGCAGATGCTAGATAATTTATTTGTATTGCCCACTATGAATAACATAGGAAGTCACACGGCCGCTCTCCGCGTGCTCCTAGAAATCTAAAATTTTAGATAATTAGGATTTGGAGAAATCTCTGCAGCGAGCTGCTTGGTTCTGAGATTTCTTTTGTACATCTCTGGATCTTGGCCATTAATGAGCTTAAATAGTCACTGGAGGCAGTTCGTGGCGGGTGGGGAGATGAGAAGGACCGGCCCATCCCCTATCCCATGAGGTCTAGAGTTTGCCATCACTAATCCTGAGTTCCTGGGCTTTTCACTGGGTTCTGGAAGATGTTGGCCACCAGAATTCCTAGGGGACAGGTGGAAGGACAATGCCTGTTCCCGTCTGGGACCCCCTGCTGAGATGGGCAAAGTCCTGGTGCAAAGTTCATAAGCATCTCTGAAGCGAGCTGCTTGGTTCCGAGATTCTTTTTTGTCTCATCAGCATATGTTGACTTTGTTTATAGTTGAGGAAACGGAAGTCCCCAGCAGGAAAAGGACATTGGATAGATGGTGGTCGGTGCGGGGTTCTGTAGCGGGTGGGGCTGCCTGGCTACAGCCAAGGAAGGCAGCTTGCATGTGGCAGTCTTGGGTGGGGGAAGCATGTTGTGTCCTGCACGCTTCTCCGAGTCCGTCTTCTGCAAAGGATGGGGGAGCCCTCTGTTCCCCAGCCCCCCTCAACAGGCAGGGACTGGAGCTCGTTCTCCTGTTTCTCTAGAGCCAGGTGCCCTGGCCCCAGTGCTCTCAAGATGGTTAGGGGAGGCGTGTCTGTGTGTGTGTGTGTGTGTGTGTGTGTGTGTGTGTGTGTGTGTGTGTGTGTAGGGGAGCATGGTACAGGTTCTGAGCACTGGGTTAGGTGTGCATTGGGAACACCATCATGTCAGGGCTTGCCCCTGTGCTTCCATCCGAGACGCCAGCTGAGCGTGTCTTGCACCCTCACCCCCCAACAGCGGTACATCGACGGGGGCTTCACGGGCATGCAGCCCTGCTCCTTCTGGACCGACTGCATCACCATCTCCACCTTCAGCGGCCAGCAAGACATCTGCCCCCGCGACTGCCCGGCCATCTTCAACGACTTCCGCATGTTCAACTTCTCCTTCCAGTTCTCCTTGGAGAACATCGCCAGGATGACCCACGCGCTCTTCCCTCCGGACCTGGTGGTGAGAGGCAGGAGCGCTCTGGGAGATGGGGGCCAGGGGCAGTCGGGCGAGGAGGGGACAGCAATGTAGGTGGAGGGGGGGAGCCCAACTGCGGCCACTGAGTTCCATTCGGGCCCCCCCCCTCAAATGATCCCTGAAATGTTCACCTGTGTCCTGCCTTGCTGCCTGCCCTCTGTGAGGCTTTGAGCAAGTTCCTGGAGCATCCCTAGCCTCTGTTTTGTTGGTCCTGAGGAGAGGGGAGGGCAGAAGCACCGGAAGTGGGGAGCTACCCCGCTACCTGAGTGGAGCTCAGCAAATGAGGCTGCCGGTTGCTCTTACCTGTGCTTGCACTCGTACAATCTGAGCTAAGAATGGGCTTCCCCAATAGGTATTTATTCTTGTGGGATTTTTTTTTGTGGGGGAGGAGTAAGGGGACTCAACCCCTGGCAGTGCTCAGAGGACCATGTGGTGCGAGGAATCAAACCTGGGCCTCTCAGAGGCAAAGCAGGGGCTCAGCCCATTGAGCTATCTCTCTGGTGTGGGACTTTTCATTTTAAAGTGCTATTGGCAGAGCCTGGCAAGCTCCCCATGGCGCGTTCGATATGCCAAAGACAGTAACAAAGACAGTCTCACTTCCTTGACCCCGAAAGAGCCTCCAATACGGCAGCATTGAGAAAGACGAGTAAGGAGAGGCTGCTAAAATCTCAGGGCTAGCAGGGGCTGGAGCAATAGCACAGTGGGTAGGGCGTTTGCCTTGCACTCAGCCGACCCGGGTTCGACTCCCAGCATCCCATATGGTCCCCCGAACACTGCCAGGAGTAATTTTTGAGTGCAGAATGAGGAGTAACCCCTGAGCATCGCTGGGTGTGACCAAAAAAAGCAAAAATAAAATAAAATAAAAAACAAAAAAACCCTCAGGGCTAGGACGAATGGAAATGTTACTGGCACCTGCTGTAATAAATTGATGAACAACAGATGACAGTGATACAGTGTGATACAGTGCTACCGGGATTAAAATAAGAAAAAGGAAAAGAAAGGAGATGGAGAAGCAGGAGGAGAAAGGGAAGGAGGAAAAGTGTGACAGACTTTTTTGGTCTTCAAAGTCCAACCTGTTCCCTCTCTCACCCTCAGGAAAAAAGGCTTTGTGGTTCTCCAGCTTATCTACGATTATTTTCCCTTTACTATGATTATTCCCATTTAACAGATAGCATAGTTGAGGCTGCGAGAGGCTACATTTTCAGAACCTATACAGTCCCTAAGTGGCTGAGCTGGAGCTTGAGCCAGTCTCCAAGCTCTGCTTTTCACAGAGCCCAAAGGCCCCTTCTTTGGTTCTATCCTAAACATCTCAACCATCCCCACCCAGCAGGCAGTGGGTGAAGGGGCCTGAACAACTCTTGCTGATGGCTTAAGACCCGGATGCAGCTTTGCTGCGGATGCAAGACCATGAACCATATCTCCTTGCTGGTAGAGAGCGGGGCTTGGAACCTTGTATGGGCAGATTAAACCAAACTCGAGTGTGATGGACACAGCGTTCTGGGTGAAGTGACCGTGCCCCCTCTCTGGCTGCAGCCTTAGTAACGCCCCCTGCTGGTCCCACCTTACAGATCCTGCACAATTACTACTACCGAGGGTATGAAGATGCTGTTTCATACTTGAGGCGGCTGAGTAAGTACCATGTGGAGCCCCCAGGAAGGGGAACAGTGGAGGCGGGACAAAAACAGGAAGTAGAGGGTTGAGAAGAGAAGCCTTCCCCTCCCCCCACCCTCCCAATTTGTGAGCTGGAAAGACCCTTCACCCAGGAGCACCAGGAACCTGCTAGCTTGCATTGTGGCCAAAACACTGTACCCCCAGTTTAGACTCTGGGGAGTGGGGCAGGATAAAAGCTTAAAGCACTTATGCAAATAGGTTTCTCTCTAATCAAACCATATTGTTGATATAGAACTAGACATGACAAATTTATCATCAGGCACACGGGCCATAGACGAGAGGCTGGTTGGGAACTTGGGTACCCAGACCTCACTGTGAGGTCAAGGTGGAAGGAAGGACACGCATGCATCACACACTAACTTCTGGAGGGGGGGGCAACAGCTTCATTACAAGTAGAGAAAATTAGATGCTCCTTATTGAAAATGAGTTCCTGGAACTTACTTCCAGGGAAAGAGGAACTGCTGGGTGAAGGATGGCTATGGGATGTGGGAGCCTTTTCTGCATCGCTGTATGGTCTTTGCCGTGGTCTTTGGGGACAGTTGCAGAATGTTCCCCCGTAGTCAGAGGAAAAGCTTAGATCATTTCTCCCAGGTTCAGAATAATCACCATCATAAGCACGGCTGTGGTGGAATTGTGTAAGTGGAAGAAAAGCCTTCGCGAATGAGAGGAAAGGGTTATAGTGCACTTTTCCACCCTCAGATGTATTCTCATCTAGTTTTCTTCCAAACGGTTTCCTGCTTTCTCAAAATCCTCTTGTCCCCTTTTCCTGGCTCTTTTTTTTTTTTTTTTTTTTTTTGCGGGGAGGGAACAGGTTTTGGATCAGCAATGCTCAGGGCTTACTCCTGGCTCTGTGCTCAGGGTTCATTCTTGGGGGAACTCGTGGTGTTGGGTGGGGTCAAACCCGGGGGGACCCTGTGCAAGGCAAGCTCCTTACCTGCAGTCCGACCTCTCTTGCCTGTTCCCTGGTCTCCTTTCTGGTGGGGAAGCCCTTAGCCCTAAGCCCGGTGAGCTCAGGGAACTGCCTATTCTTGCCTAAGTCTTGGTTTCCTATTCAGTTAAAAAGGGTTTAATCTGATTCCCAGCACACCGTGATGTTGAGAGGTCACTTATCTCTGGGGGTCTCCACGTTTCTCACCTGAAAGTGGGGAGGGGGGCGTTGATCATGGGACCCACTGGTGTGTTTTACTCTGAGGAATAGCACCATGCTCAGGGCTGGGGAGCACTAACAGAGGCCTGGAGTGCTTTATCCTAGCCAGGCGTGGTCTACGCCGCCCCCTCTTCTCTGCAGGATCAACCCTCCTAACTGGATTCTCCCCATAGCACCTCACCTCCGTGTTTAGACAGCTGTGAAAACAGCTCAGGGAATGGGGTGAGGATTAGAGCCTGGGGGACGTTCAGCTAGCAGCTGGGGGAGGGGGGTCCTCTCTACACTTTCCCCAGGGATGGTGTAGATGAGACTTGGGGACCCATGACTTGGGACTTGAATTTTGCAACAACACCAAGTCCCTGGAGACCCCCCTCCCCTCCACTCTGACTTTTCCCCATTTCTCTCATTCCCCTGTGCCATTTTCCTTCCTCTTCCTCTGGGGCAAACTCTGGGAAGGTTGTTAGGGATCTCTGGTCTCTCCCATGTAGCATAAGCCTCCCTCCCACCCTGGGGAGGGTCCCCGTGCCCTATCCCGTGTCCTCTCCCCCTTGCCCACTCCTGTGTCCTTTGCGGATGTGGGCATGTCAGGGGGATGAAAGGCCAATTAATGGTGGCATTTCCGGCACCCACTGAAGAATGGGGCGTCTCTGGAGGCCGGTGGCTGTTCCACGCCTGGAGCCCCTCCAGCTGGAACCAACCCACCCAGCAGGCAGCTGGCACCTCGTGCTCGGCTGTCAGCTGCCAGCCTGCCCCTCGGCCAGGTGCCAGGGCTGCTCGGTGCTGTTCCCAGTTGGTCACCTCAAGCCTCCTGGGTTGGGCAGGGCTGGAGTTTTCTCCCAACGCCAGACGACGGGGCAGGAGGTGGGTTGTTCAGACATGTCCTGAGAACTGCCTGCAGCGCGCCCAGAGCTGACCTTCCGTCCTCACCTGGGAACAGATGCCAGCTTGTGCCAGTGCACTGCCAAACCCCAGGCTCTCCGGGGATCAGGAAACTGCCAGGGCGTCACCCACAACTCTCAGCTGTCCTGGCACTGTCCTTCCCCTCCCGTCGAAAGGCTGGCATCTGCCTGCCACCCTCTCCACCTTCTGCCTCCCGCAGCAGCCTCTGCCAAGGGGAAGGGCCCTGCTCCTGGTGTGCTTGAATGTTCACATTCCAACACGGGCGTTGGAGAGCAGAGGATGCACCTCGAAATGATCCAGCATCTCAATATGCACCTGCTTTCCCTCCTTCCTCCCTCTCTGCCTCCTTCTCAGGTCTGCACACACACACACACACACACACACACACACACACACACACACGGTGAAACCTGCCCCTCCAGTAAGAGAATGAACAATCCACAGGCTTTATCTGCCTCTTCAAGATTGCTTCCACGACTGCTCCCACCAACCCTCAGGGTGGCTGCCCCATGTCCATTCGATCCCAATTACTTCCTGTCCTTTTAGATTAATCTGTCCATTTCCAGATTATTTTGGGAAGTGGGATCTTTCTGTGCTTTTTGGTCTGCAGTCCTCACTCAGTATCACTGTTTGAGACCCAACCAGGTCACTGCATGGTGTGAATAGTTCATTCTAGTCTCCGTTGTGTTGTGTAAATCTGCCGCAGTTCACAGGTACCCTCCCCTGTTTCTGGGCTTGTACCCAGCTAGGGGCAATTGCAAGTAAAATGGTTAAAAACACTTATTTATGGGATTTTGTATGGATATATTGCTCTGATTTCTGGGATAATTACCTAGGAATAGAATGACAAGATCACATATGGAAGAGGTATGTTTTACATATAATGCTCAAATATATTATATAACTTAAGTTACATATCTGTATATGTAATTTTTTTGTCTTGTTTTTTTGGGTCACACCTGGCGATGTACAGGGGTTACTCCTGGCTCTGCACTCAAGAGTTACTTCCTGGTGGTGCTCAGGGGACCATATGGGATGCTGGGAATCGAACTCGGGTTGGCCGCGTGCAAGGCAAACGCCCTACCCGCTGTGCTATCTCTCCAGCCCCCCATATATAAATTTTTAGAGCATGCCTAATATTGTGGTAAGGAAGTACAAAATATCATTTTTGGCTTGGGACCACACCCAGTGGTGCTCAGGGCTTACTCCTGGCTCTGTGCTCACAGTTCACTCCTGGTACAGCTTGAGGGACAATGTGGGGTCCTGGGGATTGAACCCAGGTCAGTGGTGTGCAAGGCAAGTGCCTTACCTGCTGTACTATCTTTCTTAGATCTTCTAAATATCATTTTAACCACTTTAGATGCATATTTCAGTTGCATTGAGTACACTCACATGCAATCAATTTCCAGAACTTTTTTAAATCTTGCGAGACTGTATGTCCATTCCTTTTTTTTTATTTGGGGGTGTTTTGAGGGGGGGTTGTCACACCCGGTGATGCTCAGGGGTTACTGCTGGCTCTGCACTCAGGAATTATTCCTGGTCGTGCTTGAGGGACCTTATGGGATGCTGAGGATTGAATCCTGGTTGGCCACCTGCCAGGCAAACACCCTACCCACTGTTCTATTGCTCCAGCTCCTGCCTGTTTCAACAGTTTCCTTTACTGCCTCTCCCTGGGTTGTGGCAACCACTATTCCCCTTTCTGCTTCTGTGAGTTTCACCCCCTTAGGTAACCTTATGTAAGTGGGGTCATGCTGGCTCTTCTACCATAGTTTCTTGATTTGTTCATTCATTCATGGCCTCCGAGTTGCTTCCACCTCTTGGCTATTGTGAATAGACTAGCTATAAACATAGATGTACGATTATGTCTTTGACATTTTTTATCACTTATTTGGAATATATTTAAACTAAGACATGTACTCAGAATATATGTTCAGCTTTTTTTTTTTTTAAAAAAAGCTCAACTTTTAAAGAAACCGGTTGGAGCGATAGCACAGTGGCTGACCTGGCGGACTCAGGTTTGATTCCTCCGCCCCTCTCGGAGAACCTGGCAAGCTACCGAGAGTATCTCACCTGCACGGCAAAGTCTGGCAAGCTACCCGTGACATATTCGATATGCCAAACACAGTAACAAGTGTCACAATAAAGACGTTCCCGGGCCCACTCGAGCAAATCGATGAACAATGGGAGGACAGTGACAGGGACTTTAAAGAAACCGCCAAATGGGTTGCTAACGTTTTTGTACCATTTTACGTCTCACCTGCAGTGGGTGAGCATTCTAGTTTCTCCAAATCCTCCCTGACATTTGTTGTGGTTGGTCTTCTTAATTGTACGCACTCCAGTAGGTTGGTGGTGGCATCTGATTGTGATTTGGGTTAGACTTCCTAAATGACTAATGGGGTTGACTCTCTTTGCATTTGTTGATTTGCCCACCCTGCCAAAGCCACAGTAACCTCTCTCAGAGACTCAGGGCTCCCTGGAATCTGTGGCTGTGTGTGCTGCACCTTCCAGCCCTTCCTGACCACCCCTGGCCTCAGCTGGACTTTCAGATCTCAGCTCAGATGTCGTCCCTAATGTATCAGGGATGTGCTCCTAATTAAGTCTCCCCTGCATCCCTCTAGCCTGGTACCCAGTCCTCTCCTACCCAGCACTCGTCTTGGTTAAATCATTATTGGGGTGCTTACTGCCCTCTAGGTAAGACTTATGGCCTCCAAGAGGCGGGAACCATCACACCAGTTTCTGTTCTCTTCACCCCCCTCCATGCTTCCTTTAATGCCTGGCCTGTACATAGCAATGCCCAATCTATATCCAGAGAAGGCGTGAACCAGCACACAAATACTGTGTATAAATTTAAATAAGAAGGGCCAATAAAAAGCCCTCATCCTATTTGTGAATGTAACTTGGAAAATAATATTTTGGGCTCAATATATATCCAGAGAAGGAATGGACCAGCACACAATGACCAGTATAAACATGAATAAGTAAAAGAAAGGCAAATAAAAGAGCACTCGTTCTATTTATGAGTGTAACTTGGAAAACCGTATTTTTGGCAAACGCCACGCTGATGCCACAGCTCAGTTATGTCACTCATGAGCTCTTGTTCGTCCTAGATGCAGTGTACCTTGATTCTCCTTCCAAGAGAGTGATTTTTCCTCGGGTCGAAGTGTACTGCCAGATAGAACTCGCCCTGGGCAATGCGCGCCCTGAATGCAGTCCGCAAAGCCCGCCGGCTGAGCAGTCCAGTCTGGAGGACTCGGAACAGCAGCACGCACAGTGCTCTTCCAAAGGGGCAGGAGAGAGTGACCACGCTCTACCCGAGCCCCCACCTGTGCCGGCACCTGAACATACCTGTGAGCGGATCCCACCTGTGGAATCATCTGGCTCCTCACCTGTACCATCACAGGCTGCATCACCACCCCCGTCTCCCACTGCCTTGCCACCTGCATCCGTCCCAGCTGTGCACCCACCACCCAGCCCAACACCTGGACAGCAGCCGACTAGACCCTCACCCAGATCCCCCTCTTCGAAGTCATCCCTATCATCCAGGCCCTCCTTGGGGTGTTCAGTTCTGGGGAAATCTCAAGCATCGCCCTCACGTTCTCCTTCATCACATGAAGAGCCGCCTGTGGAGGAACTGGGCTCCGAACCGCCCCAAGGTATGGAATCTTTGGGCATCTCACTGCTTCCTCCATTCGGGAGCCCCCTCAAGCGAGTGGGCAGCGCTCTGGGAACTGACAGTGTGTTGGGGGAGGTTATAGCTTTAGGAGGTCTGTGCTGCTATGAGGCCTGGCTACCGCTAGGGGCAGTGTACTCGATGCTGTATGGTCCTTTATAGAACTCGTCAGAAATGAAAATCAGGCCTGACCTCAGACCTACTAAATCATATTCTCTAGGGGTGACAGAAGCTGTCTTTGATACACACACACACACACACACACACACACACACACACACACACACACACACACACACGTACAAGCGGGTAGGGCATTTGCCTTGCATGTGGCCGACCCAGGTTCGATTCCTCCATCCCTCGATATGCCAAAACCAGTAACAAGTCTCACAATGGAGATGTTATTGATGCCCACTCTAGCAAAATCGATGAACAACAGGAAGACAGTGCTACAGTGCTATATACTTTATTATCATTGTTTGTTTTTGTTTTGGGTCACATCTGGTGGTGCTCACAGGTTGCTCCTGAATCTGTGCTCAGGGGTCATTCCTGCTAGGTTCAGAGGACCATATGGGATGCCGAGGATGGAACTCAGGTGGACAAACAAAGTGCCCTTCCCACTGTACTATCCCTCTGGCCCCTTCAACTGCCTCTTTTAAGAGGCCCTCCATGTGATCATTTTTTTTTTAAATTTTGGGGTGAGCTCGAGCTATAGCACAGTGGGTAGGGCGTTTGCCTTGCACAAGACTGACCCGACTGACCCAAGTTTGATTCCTCTGCCCCTCTCTGAGAGCCTGGCAAGCTACCAAGAGTATCTCATCTGCATGGCAAAGCTTGGCAAGCTACCCGTGACGTATTCGATATGCCAAACACAGTAACAAGTCTCACAATGGAGACGTTACTGAGCCCGCTCGAACAAATCGATGAACAACGGGAGGACAGTACAGTACAGTACAGTAACTTTGGGGTGACGCTCTGTGATGCTCAAGACTTATTCCTGACTCTGAGCTCATGGATCACTCCTGGAAGGGCACAGGGGACCACATGGGGTGTCAGAACTAAATCCAGTTTAGATGCAGGGCAAGTGCCTTACTTTCTGCGCTCTTTCTCCAGCCCTATTGAGGTGCCTCTTTTTAAAATGTTTATTTATTTTTATTAAGACACCGTGATTTACAGCGTTATTCATAGTAAAGTTTTAGACATACTATGTCCCAGTACCAGTCTCACCACCAGTGTCAGTACCCTCTGGTCCCCTGCCCCCAGCCCCCAGCTTGTCTCCTTGACAGATACATTTTTTACATTTGGTTGTTGTGATTTAGAACTCCAGCTTTATTGTTATTCTTTTGCGTATTCACATTCGAGACCTGTTGGAGATTTTTACTGTGAAGGTCTCTGAACTAGGACAGTGCTGCTCAGAATGGTCTGAGGACTGGGGCCAGCCAGGAATTCTGTTACTCAATCACGGTGGATTAACTATAGAGTTTGAGAACAAGCTCTTACAAATGTTTGTAGCAATAAGACATCCAAGAGTTTGGTTATGCACCTACAAATGCGCTTGTAGCTCACCAAACTATGAGGCCATTATGTATATTCCAAATAAGATTTCTAGCTTTCAACGTATATTATTTGGGGGAGGGGGCTTCTAATTGGTGCTGAAGAGGCCTGGGACTCCCATGGCAATTCTTAGCCAGCCTGGATGAGGGCTCAGTGCTAGGACCTGGGCATGCAGTGCCGTTCAGACAGTGCTGGGGACCCCCAGGGGTCCGCTGGCACCCGCTCGAGCAAATTGATGAACAACGGGGTGATAGTGACAGTGATAGTGATTTTCTATTTTGTCACACGAAAGCCAAAGCACCAGGTCACAGAGTCAGAACATTGATCAAAGTGTCTCACACGCTCTCCTATTTCTGCTAAGTGAAATGTTTTTCTTTTATGTTACTCTTTTTTTTTGTTGAGGGTCCTCTGGTGATACGCAGGACTTACTCCTGGTTCTGTGCTCAGATAACTCCTTGCAGTGCTCAAGTATATGTAGTGTTAGGGTCGGAACCAGGGTTGGCGGCATGCAAGGCCAGTGCTCTAACCCCAGTATTATCTCTATGGTTCCCGTATTCCTCAATTTTTTTTTTCTTTTTGGGTCACACCCAGCAATGCTCAGGGGTTCCTCCTGGCTTTGCACTCAGGAATTACTCCTGGTGGTGCTTGGGGGCCATATGGGATGCCGGGGATCGTGCAAGGCAAACGCCCTACCTGATGTACTATGGCTCCGACCCATGTTCCTTATATTTTATGTTACTCATATTTTATGTTACTCATATCTTATGTTACTCATATTCAAGCCTAAAGATAACCACCATCGGGTCCTCAATCAGCCCTGAGTCCTGGCTTGGTCTTCCTCCCTCATAGTGGATACAGACATCCTGGTAGTTTGCAGCTGGGTGCAGTTTTATTCTTAGTTTAACAATGGCTGTGAACTGTTTCCGTGGTCATCTGGTGGTGACACCTAGTGGATAGAGACCAGGGATGCTGCTACAGTCCGACAAAGCCTAGGGCAGCTTCTCACAGACAGCTCAGGCGGGTACAGCTGCTGCTTTCATCAGTGAAATCCTGTCGTGGGCTCCAGCTGAGCCACTCGTGGGGGGGGGGGGGGAGGGTGGGTACTGCCCCAGCCCTCTGTGGGAGCCACCGCAGAGGGGCTGTGCTGTGTCAGGCGGTGATGGCTTTGTTACTGACCAGATGGTAGTGCTACCCAGCATCCTAAGAAGATCCAAGAACAAAGGAGCTGTGAGTACACTGGGAGAGCCAGGGCTAGCCAGCAGGCTGCCAAAGGAAGAGGTGGAAGCGTTTACATGAATTCAACATTATTTTTATTTTTTTACATTAATTTTTTTCTCACTTTATTGAAACCCCGTGGTTTACAAAATTGTTCATAATAGTTGTTTGGTGCCTTTGATGTTCCAACACCAATCCCATCACCAGTGTGACCTTCCCTCCACCATTGTCCCTAGCTTCCCTCCCACTACTCCAAGCTGCCCCTTAGCAGACACAGAATATTTTATTTATTTATTTATTTATTTATTTATATGCTTTTCGGGTCACACCCGGCAATATACAGGGGTTACTCTTGGCTCTGCACTCAGGAATTATTCCTGGTGGTGCTCGGGGGACCATATGGGATGCTGGGAATAGAACTCAGGTCGGCTGTGTGCAAGGCAAATGCCCTACCCGTTGTGCTATTGCTCCAGCCCCGACACAGAATATTTTATATTGTTACAACAAAATGGAAAATGGAATTAGCAAAAAATATCAGTAAAAGAAAAAATTATCAGTAAAAGAAAATTTGCGAAAATTATTCTATCTCACAATGGTGTTATTCAAGTCATTGTCTAAGCACTCATGGAGCCGTGTGCTGCTAGTTGAGCCTTCTGCGTTACTGTTTTTGCTTGTTGAGTTTAGTGACCTCCTCTGCTATCTTCCCACCTAATTTGCTGTGTTCCTACTGGGCTGCCAGTATTGTGGAATTTGGCGGTGTTATGCGGCTGCGCGTGTAAGGAGCTGTAGACGTACAGGGATGATTCTTTGGCTTGGCATCTCTTCTGAGATTAGCCGTGAAGCTATGGAGCTGGGTCATTTATATTCTGGAGGCTGTGGGGTGTGGGTGTGGCTGTTGGGGCTTTGGGCAGTGCGGGAGGGCACCCGGGGAGAAGGCAGCTGGGATAGAGAAGGGACCACCATGACAAAGATAGTTGGAAATGATCACTCTGGATAAGAGTGCTGGAGGGCCAGAGCGATAGTACAGCAGGTAGGGCATTTGCCTTGCACGTAGCAGACATGGGTTCAATCCCCGGCATCCCATGTGGTCCCCCAAGCACCGCCAGGAGTAATTTCTGAGTGCAAAGCCAGGAGTAACCCCTGAGCATTGCTGGGTGTGACCCAAAAAGAAAAAAAAACTGAAAACAGATAAAGGAACAAACATGATAACCTCTCAGTATCTGTATTGTAAACCATATGCCCCAAAAGTGGTGGTGGTAGGGGAGAGAGAGAGACAGAGAGAGAGAGAGAGAGAGAGAGAGAGAGAGAGAGACAGAGACAGAGACAGAGACAGAGACAGAGACAGAGACAGACAGAGACAGAGTAGAGAAAGAAGGAAAGTGCCTGCCATAGAGACAGACTGGGGTGAGTGTGGTAGGAGGGAAACTGGGGGAATTGTTGGTGGGAAATGTGCACTGGTGGAGTATTGGATGTTGGAACACTATGTGACTGCAACCCGGCTATGATCAGCCTTATAACTCTGTATCTCATGGTGATAAAGTAATAATAATAATAATAATAATAGCAATAACTAATGATAATAATAGCACTGTAGCACTGTCCTCCCGTTGTTCATCGATTTGCTCAAGCTGGCCCAGTAGTGTCTCCATTGTGAGACTTGTTGTTACTATGTTTGGCATATCAAATATGTCACAGTAGCTTGCCAGGCTTTGCCGTGAGGACGAGATACTCTTGGTAGCTTGCCGGGCTCTCCGAGAGGGATGGAGGAATCAAAACCGGGTTGGCCTTGTGCAAGGCAAACGCCTTACCTGCTGTGCTATCATTCTAGCCAGATAATAATAATAATAATAATAATAATAATAATAATAATAATCACACTCACTTCCAGTGGTCAACTCAGAGGTGATTAGATCAGCCTCCTGACCCGGCTCACTCGTGTCTCTTTCTTTTGGCTGTAGCCCCGCTGGCCTCTTCAGACCCAAGGAGCTCTGTGCAGCTGGCTAACGGGAAGGAAGCTTCCAGCAAGCCTCCCGCCACGTGAGTGTCTCCTTCCGACAACACTCTCCCCTCTCTGGGGAGTGACCTGCACCATCACTTTAGCTGTCCGAGGAACACGGGGACCCTTTCGTGGTATAGAGTCTGGCCACTCCCTTCAGCTCACAGACTCCCCCTCCTCTCTCTCTCTCTGTGGAACACAGACCCATGCATGCAGTCACTGTGGCTCACTGCAGCTCCCCGCTGTGCTCCCTGGGTGGCACCTTCTCTGGGGGAACTGAGGGGATGTGCACCCCCATCTTCTCTCTCTTGGGTGATGTCTCAGTTGAAGGGAGCTCGTGCTTGAGGCTCCACATGGCCTCCATGGGGGCTCTCCCCAGGACCTGCCTCGATCTTCATGATTTCCAATGTGCATGAGAGGAGGGCTTAATCGTGTGGCTTTATTTGTCAGCTGTCTCTAGAAACATATGATGCATATGATGCATATCAGTTGTCTGGATTATAGATTATTATCTTTGCCCTCATCAGCAACAGGATCTGGGAGCTTTGTTTTTTGTTGTTTGCTTTTTACTTTTTTGGGCCACCCTTGGCTCTGCTCAGAGTTTACTGTGGCTCTGTGCTCAGGAATCACCCCTGGCGGGGGTCGGGGGGGCCCTATGTGGTTCTGAAAATAGAACCCAGATCGGCTGCATGCCATGGAGCACACACTTACCCACTGTACTATGTCTATGGCTCCCACAATATGTATTTTTTTAATTTTTAAATTTTATTTTACTTTGTTGTTGTTTTTATTTGGGGGCCACAGCCCGTGGTCCTCAGGGCTTATTCTTTTTTTTTTTTTCCTTTTTGGGTCACATCCGGCAATGCACAGGTGTTACTCTTGGTTCTGCACTCAGGAATTACTCCTGACGGTGCTCAGGGGACCACATGGGATTGAACCAGGGTCAGCCTCGTGCAAGGCAAATGCCCTACCCACTGTGCTATCACTCCAGCCCCTCAGGGCTTATTCTTGACTCTGCGTTCAGGGATCATTCCCAGTAAGCTCAGGGACCAGATGGGATGCCGGGGTTCAAACCTGGGCCTGCCTCCTGAAAGGCAAATGTCCAACCTGCTGTCCTATTGCTCTGGCACCCGAGCTGTGTTGTTTAATGGCTCCCTGGGAACAACATTACTCAGGCTCTCTTGCTGGCTGGATTACAGGGGATGCACTTTTGGGAGACCAGAGGGTGGGTCTGGGGTACTTCATGGCTCCCCACTCTCCGCCTTTTCTCTCCTGGCAGGACTGGGATGTCCTATGACCAGGTTCAGTTCTCACTCAAGCAAGACTCCCAGGCAGTGGCTATGAGCACTCCAGAGGACAGCATATCTTATACTGAGCTGCTTCTCCCATTAAGTGTATAATTTACTTGTTTGTTTCTGGGCTGTACTTGGCATTGCGCAGAGGCTGCATCTGACTCAGTGCTTGGAGATCACTATCACTGTCCCCAGGAGACCAAGGAGTATTGGGAAATCAAACCTTGGGGTGCCCACGTGCAAAGTGCTCCGGCTTTTTGAGATATCTCTCCAGCCCTCTTTAAGCATTATTTTAACTGTGAAAGTTTTTGAAAGCACTTCTGTGGCTTGCATAAATGATGTATTTGGTCACCTAATTTAAACTTTTTTTGCATTGATATGTCACTGTCCTGTTGAACTGAGTTAAAATAAGTTAACTATGTCAAAAGATTGACTAGCGCAGGGGACTGGAATCCTAATATAGTGGGGAGGGCACTTGCCTTGCACAAAACCATTTGGGTTTGATCCTCGGCATCCCATATGGTCCCCTGAGCCTGCCAGAATGATTCCTGAGCACAGAGCTGGGAGTAAATCCTGAGCATTGCTGGGTGTGGCTCAAAAGAAAAATAAATACATAAATAATAGAATAATTTTAAAACAAAGATGGGCTAGTCTGGGGCTAGACAGATAGTACATTGGGTAGCACTTGCCTTGCATGTGTGGCCTACTGGAGTTTGATTCCTGATACCTACCCCAAAAACTTGAAAAAAAAGGATTAACTAGTTTGCATGATATTAATGATATTACTCAGCTAAAAGTCATTGATGACATGATAGACGTTCCCGGGGAAATGCTGATGTCAGCCGAGGTTCAGAACCTCAGCATCCTGGGGGGCTGGAGTGATAACAGAGCAAGTAGGGTGTTTACCTTGCAATGGCTGACCCAGGTTCGATTCCCAGCATCCCATATCATTCCCCGAGCACCACCAGGAGTAATTCCTGAGTGCATGAGCCAGGAGTAACCTCTGTGCATCGCCAGGAGTGACCCAAAAATAAAAAAATAAAAAAGAAATATAAATAAATAAAAACAGAACCACAGCATCTGGCATCCATCTCCGTAATTGGGCCCATGGGAACCCCCAAACTGGGTATTAACAAACTGCTTCCTGCTCTCTACCCAGGGAGAGCACTGCTGAAGACCCCCCCAGGGTGGACAAGGCCTTCAAGAAGAGCAAACCAAAGACCCCTGGCTCCAGAAAAGGATTCCCAAGAAATCCACGCTCCAAAAAAACAGGCAACAAATCACAGTGAGCCCAGCTCTCATTTCTTCTCTTTGGGTCAGGAGCAGTTCTGGGGACTGACAGCAGGAAGGTTAGGGGACAGCGGGTGTCTGTCTGGTGAGAGGCACACCCCACAGATACCCCCCGACTCTGCAGTCAGTGCGAGACTGCAGAGGAATGAAACTCAGTGCCCGATTTCCAAGACCTTCAGGCTGGAGATCAGAGCCTTTGCGTCTCTCTGCTGATGTTGTTGTGATGATTTGGGGGGTTAGCAAACACCCCTGGGCTGCAATGCTTGACAGGGGTTCACATCCGGTTCTGGGTCTTAGAAGCTCAGTGTAAGTGGGGGAGAGGCATGCTCCGGGCCATGGTGCTCACTGAGGATCTGGTGAGGCTCACACACATCTATCTGCCTGTGGTGTAGCCGGAAGTCGTTTGCTGAGCTGGGGACCACAGAGGGTCAAGCTGCTGAAATTATTTCCTATCCGCTGGACCATATCCTGGACCCCAATAATGCTCTTAATTATTTTTTGGAGTCACAATGGGCTGTGCTCTGGACTTACTCCTGACTGTGCTCAGTGATCACTCATGGTGGGGTTCAGGGGACCATAGGGGATGCTGGGGATTGAACCTAGGTCAACTACATGCAAAGCAGATCAATGCCTTGACCCCTGTTTTATCTCTCTGGCCCCGGTGATGGTTTTGGAAAGCACCGCCCTTCCTTAAATCCTTCTCGGCGCTTCCATTCCTGCCAGACTCCTCACAGCCCACCTGTCAGCAGAGGACTTGCCTTTGTGTTACTGTGAAATATTCCTCCTCACCCCTGAGTCCCCTTTCACATGTGAATGTAGAGACGCAATGAGCTGTGGCAGGCTGACCACGGGCTTGCCATGTGGGAGATCTGGGTTCCGTCCCTGGCACTGCATTAAGGTCCCCGTAGCACTACCACGAGTGGCCCTTGCAAACAGCCCCTGAGCACTGCTGGGTGTGACTCCAAACCCAACCAGAATCAAATGTGAATGTAATAGTCACAACTTAAATGCACAGGGACTTCAATTCCAGGCACGGGGGCACAGAGAGCCTGAGCCACTTGTCCAGTGTCACACAGTTGGTCAGTGGCAGATCTAGGACCAGGCTCAGGATGTTGGCCCCGAGGCATTGAGACTCTCAGGGCTGAGGAACTGCAGGGAAAGATGGAAGTCACGGACCTGAGTCTAGTTTCTGCCTTTGGGCAGGGAGATGTCTCCTGAGTGGGATAGGTCAGGCTGATTTGGACTGTGCCAGTGAGGTCTAGTTAATGTGATGCTGGCAGAATGACTATCAGATTGGAGACTGATAGCACAGCGTGATGTCCATACCCAATCTTTTCTCCACCCCAGTTGGCTTCTTCCCTCCCCCAGAGAGGGTGCGCCACTGGCTCAGGGTCACACAGCAGATGGGGGTGTGTTTCCCATCCCTCCTTTTGACTCCTTTCAACTCACACATGCTTTCTGGTTTCTCTCATCCAGGTCTGCGTCCTGCCCACTTGACTTCTCTCTGCACTCAGCTTCTGAGACTATCTGGGTCACCTATCGGACCCATCCCAGCCGGATCCAGGAATACAGCTGCCCCGAGGTTTGGCACTCCCCGGGGGCTTCCCCATGCTCCGGGCACCCCTGAAGCTCAGCTTCCTTTCTGCCCCAACCTGCCTCTTCCTCGTAGTCAAGGCCAACCACATAGCATCTTGTGCAGCGAGAAAAGAGGGTCCCTCCCTGGAGAACTTAAGTGCCAGAAGATTGACGGCATCTTGCTAGAACAATGGATGGTCACTGCTAGAAGTCTTTAGGCAAAGATACACAAGCTGCGAAACAATAGAAGTGGCCTTGAGAAGACCACAAGGAACATGTCCCTACCCATTTTCACCAGCGTGTTATTTTGTGAACTGCACAGCCTGCACAACTGTCCCTGGCACTCCAGTGGCCATTCCACGCCTTCCCTTTTCCTGAAAAACTATGTATTAAACTTGGAATTTTTGGCCAAAGGAACGATATTCCGGACTTTTCTGATAACAGAGAACTCCATTTGCAGAGGAGCAAAGGACGCTTGCGTAAAAAGCTGATCTCCCACTGCTTTTGGGTGTGGACTGAAATTCCAGTTTCTTTGTGTCTGGTTTGGCTCTCATAAGGCCTGAGTGTCTACTGGGGGTGCCCATGGTGCCTGCTGTGCTGAGGGGCATGCTCAGGGGAAGGAGATTGAAGAGAAGGGACTTAGGAGTGATGAGCCTATGTCTTTTTCCTAGAAAATTTTTTTTCTGTTTTTTTTTGTTTTTGCTTTTTGGGTCACACCCGGCGATGCACAGGGGTTGCTCCTGGCTCTGCACTCAGGAATCACTCCTGGCAGTGCTCAGGGGACCATATGGGATGCTGGGAATCGAACCCGGGTCGGCTGCATGCAAGGCAAATGCCCTACTGGCTGTGCTATCGCTCCGGCACCCTCCTAGGAAATTTTGAATCGAGAGAGAAAACTGAGCAGGCATGGGAGAGGACATGAGGGTCCTGAGGCTGAGGCTTCTCCCGTGTGCGATGATGCCCTCCTCTGCCCCTTGGTCTCTAGGGCCCCCCTGGACAACACCCTCTGTGAGTCTACTGGTGGGGAGGGCTTGACTTCTCGTCCAGTTGTCCTTCCTGCCCCTTCGTGGTACTTCCTGTCCTCTACCACCCTGCTCTGTCGCATGGCTGGGTGGTGATGGTCACAGCACAGCCTCCTTGGGGCCTGCTCCCAACCCCTGACCTGAGCTTGCATCTTTGAGAGGGGACAGATCATCCTAGTAGCCCCCCCGAAATCCCCTCATGCCTGGAACTTGTACACAGGACAAAACTCCTGTTGGGCCACGTAGGGCTCAGCTCCTGTTGGTCTTTCTTGTCTCCTGTATCGGCTGAAGAGCAAGTCCTACCCTCGTAGGGCTTTGGATTTTGCGGTGGCTGGACTCAGAATTGCTGGGCCCTGTCTCGGCCATCCACGGGGACTTCCTGTTGACTTGGTCTGGTCTGTGGCCAGAGTACTGTTGTTCGATACTAACCGGTGTTCAGTACTGGCTGGGCACTGGGGTGTCCAGGGACCTGAGGAGGTTGAGGAGGAATTTGGGGGTGATGCTGGGGAGGACATGCCTGCCCTTTTCTTCTCCCAGACTGCTGTTCACAGTCACGTGACCACGTTCGTCCCTCTGGAAACATCCACCTTTGTTTTTTCAGCTCATTCTGAAGAATCTACTAATATTTCTGCTTTCCAGAAACTGACTGTCCAGCTGAGGAAGAAAGCCAGGACTGTACCACAGCTGGGATGCAGTGCCTGGTTGAACAAATCCTGGACGGCAGCCCCCCAGAAACTGGGCAGGTGGAACGTGGCTCTGAGTGGAACGGGGGTATCTGAGGACCACAGAGTCAGTATACCATGAAGAGAGGGCACTGTGACAAGGGACAGGTCCCCTCCACGGGACCAGGTCAAGGAACATGAGTGCAGACAAGCCCCTCCTGCCTGGAGCGCCCATGTGTGCTGCCTGGGAAGAATCAATCGCAGGTGTTCTGGAACCTTCTCTCTGACCAGTGGAGTAAAGTTCCTGGGGATTCGCTGGTGGGAAGGGATGGATTCCTGGGGTGACCCCTGGGGCAGACCCTGGTTTCCTGCAGGAGAAGACTCGTGCTCTGTGAGCTAGAGGGCGGCTTCCTCTCACACGCCCCAGGAGTGTGTGTGGCGCATGAGGGGACTCACTGCCATCATGATTGTTATTTTAGACCAAAGCCCAGAAGTGCTCATGTCCCGGTTAAGCTCTGAGTAGGAAAACGTCTGCCTATCTACTTTTTTTTTCTCTTTCCTCTCTGTCACTTTCCCATTGGAATTAATTAAGTGATATGCCCTGGTGCTAATTCCAAGGTGGCTAGAAGGATCAGGGGTGCCCTGTGAAATGTGTGTTTCCGATAGATGACAATGAAGAATTACCAGAATAAAAGTGTCGCCAGGATCACAATGATTTGTTTTATGTCTGAAGTTCAAATTTCACTAGGCAGCCCAAGTTTTACTTGCTTTTGTTATGAGGGGGGAGGGGGAGACACACCCAGTATTTCTCAGGGTCTGTTCCTGACTCTGTGCTCCTGGCTCACTCCTGGTGATGCTCGAGGGACCATAAATGGTACCAGAGATTGAATCAGGGTCATCGGCCACGTGCAAGGCCAGTTTCTTTCCATTTTTCCTTCCTTCCTTCCTTCCTTCCTTCCTTCCTTCCCTCCCTCCCTTCCCCTCCCTCCCTCCCTCCCTCCCTCCCTCCCTTCCTTCCTTCCTTCCTTCCTTCCTTCCTTCCTTCCCTCCCTCCCTTCCCCCCCTCCCTCCCTCCCTCCCTCCCTCCCTCCCTCCCTTCCCTCCCTCCCTCCCTCCCTCCCTCCTTCCTTCCTTCCTTCCTTCCTTCCTTCCCTCCCTCCCTTCCCCTCCCTTCCTCCCTTCCTTCCTTCTTCTTCTTCTTCTTCTTCTTCTTCTTCTTCTTCTTCTTCTTTTCTTTCTTTCTTTCGTTCCCTCCCTCCCTCCTCCTTCCCTCCCTCCCTCCCTCCCTCCCTCCTTCTTTTCTTCTTCTTCTTCTTTCTTTCTTTCTTTCTTTCTTTCTTTCTTTCTTTCTTTCTTTCTTTCTTTCTTTCTTCCTTCCGTTCCCTCCCTCCCTCCTCCTTCCCTCCCTCCCTCCTTCTTTTCTTCTTCTTCTTCTTCTTTCTTCTTCTCCTTCTTCTTCTCCTTCCTTCCTTCCTTCCTTTCTTTCTTTCTTTCTTTCTTTCTTTCTTCCATTCCCCTCCCTCCCTCCCTCCCTCCCTCCCTCCCTCCCTCATTCCCTCCCTCCCTCCCTCCCTTCCTTCCTGCCTTCCTTCCTTCCTAACATTTTGTATGGAATATCTGTGGGCTGAGATCTCCAAGCCTGCTTGGATTGGGGCTGAGCATCCTCCACCCAGGTCCTCCAAATTCCAGTAGGCAGGGGTCACACCCACCAACTGGCCCCCTGGCGCCGTGTAATCCCATCAACGGCTGAGACCCAGAGACTATAAAACCCAGCTCCCGGAAGCATGGGGCCACATTTGCAGCAGTGCGACATCTTATTATGACACCTTATCTCATTCCTACTTTGGACAAACTGGCAGGCTACTGAATGTAACTGGCCCACACGGCAGAGTCTGGCAAACTCCCCGTGGCATACCCAATATGCCAAATACCAGTAACAAATGATGGGTCTCATTCTCCTAACTCTGAAAGAGCCTTGAATCTCAGGGCTAGGACGAAGGAGACATTACTGGGGCCTGCTTGTGGCAATCGACAAATAACAGGATGGTCATGACCGTGATTGTGATCTGTGAGATAGACCATTACAAAGCAGTTCATGATTGGGTTTTAATCATACAATGTTCCAACACTCATTCCTCCGCTAGTGTACATTTCATACCACCAATGTCCCTAGTTTTCCTTCCTTCCTCCCTCCCTCCCTCCCTTCCTTCCTTCCTTCCTTCCTTCCTTCCTTCCTTCCTTCCTTCCTTCCTTCCCTCCTTTCTCCTTCCTTCCTTCCTTCCTTCCTTCCTTCCTTCCTTCCTTCCTTCCTTCCCTCCCTTCTCCTTCCTTCCTTCCTTCCTTCCTTCCTTCCTTCCTTCCTTCCTTCCTTCCTTCGCTCCCCACCCCCAAACAATTCTCCCATCCTCACCCCACCTGCCTATATGACAGGCACGTTTCTTCTTTCTGGCATCTGTCATGTGCTACGAGAGAGAGAGAGAGAGAGAGAGAGAGAGAGAGAGAGAGAGAGAGCAAAGGAGGCCTTTGATGGCTCCCCACACACGTCCTATTCTCTGACCCAAAGTCTACGCTGCATTTGTCCTCATTCTGAGGGGCCGCATTTGGATGCCAAAATGTAAGGACAAATAAGGGAGCTGATGTGATATGGGGGCTGGCGCAGGTTTTCCTGGACATATGTCATACACACACACACACACACACACACACACACACACACACACACACGAGTCTCAGAACTGCTGGGGACTGTCATGTCTGCTGGGCAAAGGGCCTCTCCCCTGGGCCACTGGCATGTAGGTCAAGGGAGTACAACCTGGGTACTGCTGTCCCCACCTCAGCAAGTTGGTGTCCCCATGGAGGGGCAAGGGGAGAGCTGTCACGGAGACACCTGCCCCCAGGTAGGGACCCAGAGGCTGACCCTGATGTGGGGAATGGGCTCCTCATCCTGGTGCATTCAATAATCAAGACCTTTGTTGCAAATTGGTTTTGTTTTTTTATTGGTGAAACAATGCAGTAATAACAGGGGTTGAGCTGCTGGCCTGAGGAACACAGGGAGCAAACACCGCATAAAGAACAGTACATGGAAGAGTCGATTCCAGCAAGTGCCTGGCCCTCATTTCCAAACAGTCTGGCTGTGTGATCACGAGTCCTGCCTAAACACCCCACACATTTTTCTCACTGATTCTGGGCAAAGCCTTATGAGATAGGAGAGGTACATTTCTCTGGTCACAGAATTCTTGGACATGGCTGGAAGGATCCCAAAATACCAGCGTCCCTCATAGAGAGGTCCCCCACATCTGGGGCCTCCAGAGTTCTTGGGGGCAGGAATAAGTCCACTGAGACATTAGGCAAAGCTTACCATGTGGATAAATGAGAGGTTGCCTTCAGATGCACATTATTTAAAAATGCATGTGGAAGTTCTGGCGAGAGAGTGCACAAAAATGCATTTTTTAAAGCCAACTTCTGCTAAGAGGTTAGCAGGTTGTCTACATGAGAGTGGGTCTAGTTTTAGATCCTGTGGCTTATGGACATATCGGATGATAAAAAAAAATAAATAGATCCGTGGTGGTGGAAAATTGGCACTAGTGGAGGAATGGGTACTTGATCATTGCATAATTGAAACCCAAGTACAAAAATTTGTAAGTCTAAAACTATACCTCATGGTGTTTCACTAATAAAAATTAAAAAAAAAAGAAAAAATAAATAAGATCAGGGGAGGTTGTAACGTATATGAAAAGGAAAAATGCACCCCAGGGCATGGAAGTCGGTGCTGGTGTCATCCCAGTCCAAAACTCTAGAACTTGCTCCCCATTCCCTCCCTCACCCCCAATTGAGGACCAGAGCAGAGTTCTGTCTTGGTGATAATCTCCTTAGGACTCCAGATGAGAGAGCAGGAAGGGACCCATCCAGGGGGTGTGACTGGGTGGGTGAGCCCAGAATCCAGTGTCTGGAGCAGAGAGGAGAGGGGGAAGGGGTCCTGCCCTCCTAACTCCCCAGCCTGTGCTCATTGACCCCACACCCCCAACCCACTCCCACTTTGTGGAAGAAGACTTGTTGGAGTCCAGTCTCAGTCAGTCCACAATGGCACGTGGATCTGGATTGGCAAGTCCTCAGCGTGTCGGGAAGCCCAGAGGGACCATCACGAAACATCTCAGGGGCTGTTGGCTCAGGCCATTCAATTTTTGTAGAAACGTTGAGTGAAAGGCCCAACTTTCAGTCTGGACTTTCAATCTGGATGTCGGGACTTGTGATGTTCTAGGAAGAGAAAGATCGAGATGTTAGTCAGCGTCCAGCCGCATGACCACAGCAGAAATCCCAGGAGCCCGCCTGTACAGTGCTCTGCTCCCTCCGGGGGCTCTTCTCTGCCCAGTTTCTGACTCCAGAAAGGGTGAAGTCCCCCAGTCCTATTGCCTAAAACTTTGCAACCATCTCGAATGAGAAAGCCAAACAGTAGAGCCATAGATAAATTAAGAAGGCCAGCTAGAGAGTGGCCAATACTGACCCCGTACCTCTATCAAAAAGAGTAAGAAACACACACCTGGGAAGAGGCTCGAGTCACACAGAGAAGATGCTCATTTTCAAGGCAAACCAGAGCAATCAGGACTGGGCCTCCACCACCCAGCTCCCCAGTTTTCCAGGAGCTTGGTAGTCACACCCAAAAACTACCCCCGAGCCATGTAATCTCATCAACGACTAAGATCCAGTGACTATAAAATAAAGCTCCCGGAAGAGAGCGATGCAGAATCTCCTGACCCCATGCCAGGCTGTCTTCACCAGGGCCCCTTGGAGGGGGCGGTTGAGTTTCTCTCCCCATCCCAAGCAGAAACATGGCAGCCAAAAACCTCCAGAACCCAGATGCAGCCATGCTCAAGGCCACTTTCCACATGCTCGGATGAGCCTCACTCACGAGGGAACCAACAGAGGAACCTAGGTATGCAGGATCCGTAGCCGAGATCTCCAAGCCTGCTTGGATTGGGACTGGGCATCCTCCACCCAAGTCCCCAGTTTTCTAGTAGCTTGGCAGCCACACCCACAAACTGCCCACTGGCGCCTCTTATACTTTAGCCCACTGACGTACCTAAAGTAAGACCCATGTGTTTGGTTTTAACATACTTGCTTCTATTCTCTTATATATGGGCTTAAATGGCTCCAGAATGAAATACAACAACCTTCACACACTTATTGTGGTGGGAAGATGCTCGCTGCTGGGTTGGGTGTTTGAATATTTTCTGCAATGAACTACTGTGGACTACTTTATAAAAATAAAATGCATTTAAAAAAAAGCCAGAGTAGAGTTTTGGAAAAGAAAAAGGTCAGCGTGGGGCGGCAATGTCTTGGAGGCCTCATCCAGGAGGGAGCATGTGAGCTAGACCCGTCCTGAGCTGAGCAGGGCCGGGACAGGAAGAAGGTCCCATGGCCTCCCCTCGCCTGGTCTCTACGGGCCCTTCTCACCGGCTGGGCCTCCTCGTAGGAGTACTGGCTGCTTCGGCGGCGACGGTAGTGCCCCAGGAGGTCCAGCAGGCTGATGACGTTGTGGCTGTTGCCGGCAAATTTGTTTGGCAGGTCGAAGGGAAACTGGTAGGGCCCCTGGGGGTTTCTGCCAGGGTGCGAGGAGTGGCCCTCCTGACTGCGCATAGCCGCCACCAGCTTCTCCTGGCAGGAGTCTAGGATCTCTTGGAAATACCTCTTGAGACAGGGATGTCGCCTTATCTGGAAGTGAGGCCGGAAGCGGAAGTGAGGCGGGGCGCCCATGTGGTGGTGTGTGGTGCCCGGCCAGGTGGCCCCCTCCCCAGCACCCCTCCACCCACCCCCTGCAGTCAGGCTCCATGGCCTGCTCAGGGTGGGGTGAGCACCTGGTGATATGCTCCCCTCCCGGCCCCCCAGCCCCAGCCTCTCAGGATCCGTGTCCCAGCTCTAAGCAACAGGACAAAGTGAGAGCAGGAAGGGGGATAAATCACAGTTGCAAAGCTGTGTGATCTCTCTGAGCCTCTGTTCACTCATGGGTCGTGTCTCCTGTGTGGCCGCTGGGAGCTGTGGGAGGGCGAGGCTAACCACTGGGGTCCAGGCTAACCGCTGATGAGACCTGATCTGTGCACAGTTGGCTGTTGGATGGATGCTAGTCCCCACCCCCAGCCTCCTTCCCTTGATACCTTTGGTTGGGCTCCCCGAGATGCCGACCCTGAGACTGACTCTGGCATAGCCAGTCTCTGAGGGAAGTGACCCAGGGAAGCACTGGATGAGGAGAACTGGAAACCAGGCACAACTAGCCCTTCCCACCACTCTCCCCACCTACCCCAGGGGGCTGCAGGAGCTGGTGCAGAAGTCACTCCTCAGCTATTTCTCTATGGTCCTGGGGTTGGGGGGGTGTTTATCTACCTCCCCTTGCCCTGCCCCACTCCCATCAGCCCTTGGTTGATGCTTGCTTCTGCAGAGGGGAAGGGCGCTCATTCTAGAAGCTCTACCAGGTGGGTGGAGGTCTACATGATGCTGAGGAAAAGGATGCAGGCTCCAGCCACTGGGAGTTGGGTTGGGGTGCGGTGTGGGGCCAAGGGGAGGCCCCCATAGTGAAGACTTGTCTCTCGCCTGGTGCCTAGTCACAGGTGGTTTCCTGTTTCTGCAACTACACTGAGGGATTCTGACTTCTTTTGGGGGCTATCCCACAGATGAGAGGAATGTAAAAGCTTCAAGGAATTGGAGGCCCTGTGAATCCTGGAGTGTGGCCAAGAGAATGAGAAGGGAGTGAGCAGGGGCTGGAGCGATAGCACAGCAGGTAGGGTGTTTGCCTTACATGCAGCCAACATGGCCGACCTGGGTTTGATTCCCAGCATCCCATATGGTCCCCCAAGCACCACCAGGAGTAATTCCTGAGTGCATGAGCCAGGAGTCACCCCCGAGCATCCCCGGGTGTGACGCAAAAAATAAATAAAAGGGAGTGAGCAGAGGCTAGTGCTCCATAGGCTGTCACCTCCTGGGTGGTCAGGAGAGGAGGGACAGGGGCTGAACCTCAAGGAGGACATAGACTGGGGAGGGGGCTCCTAGCTGTCAGGGGGAGCAGCAGAAGTCGAGTTTTATTTTATTTATTTTGCTTTGGGGACCACATCCTGCAAGGCTCAGGGGATACTCCTGTCTCTGAGCTTGGGAATCACTCCTGGAAGGGCTCATATAGGATGCCAGGGATTGAACTGGGGTTGACTGCCTTACCCACCGTATTATAGCGTGGGCTTCTCAAATATTATTTTAAGTAACACCGATCATCTATTTCATGTCTGGTGTTTTCTATAGAGGCACTACACTTTGCTGACTAGGCATCGATCCCCTATTTTACAAAAGAGAAAAACAGAGGCTCTGAGAGTTTAAGGGACATGCCCACAGTCACACGGATGCAGAGGCGGGGATTAAGCTCTGGCCTCAGTTGTGGTTTGATGAATCTCCTGCATCCAACCTGATCAGCTTTTGGAGGCACCGAGCAGTCCTCACCTGTTCTCCCAACTGCTCACCCACTTCTTGGAGAAAAGCCTCCAGCTTCTGGATAATCAGCAACTCTAAGAAAAATAAAGACGGAAGTGCTCTAGACAAGTCGTGAAACACATTTATCTAAAGTAACTGCACACAACTTCCATATAAGGGGAGAAACAATTCCCCAAGCCTGAAGGAAGTATGTGAGCTGGACTTGTCTCGTGGAAACAGCAGGAACTTTTGTTTTCAGAGCCTCATTTGTCACCATGATTGTTGGGCAGATAAGAATCCAGCTCTGCCATTGGTCCTCACCCAGCGGCTGAGGGCAAAATATGGTCAGTAACGGGGAGTAGGGTCAGAGCAGGAGTGACCAGCTGCAGGTGTGCCCTCAGTCTTGGGCTGCAGGTGGCTGCTCATGCCAGGAGTGACCAGGTGTTGGAAGCTAATGATAGCTGTGACAAGGAAATGCATCACACACTGCCCCTGCTGTGCTGCAGATCAAACTGAGCTTGTTGCCGGTACACCGCTGTTTAGGAGACCCAGGCAAGTTGGTTATTTCCTAAGAGACATTTGAGCAAACCAGAGCCACAGGAGTGTGGCTCCATGGGATCACAGTGGACTTGCCTGAGCGAGCAAGGCTCTGGGTTCGATCCCTCACACCACCAAAATGCAACACGACATATACACACATTTAGCCCGCGGGTGGATTGTGGGGTTAAGTCCCATCCCAGAGACTAGCCACGTGACTGAAGCCTGAAAACGTCTCTCCACCTGCAACGCTGCCCAACAGCCCAGTTGACAGACTGATCCTGTCTGCTCGGTGACCTTCTAGAATTTTCCGGGGAATATTTTCCCATTGCCTTCCCCAGTTCCCTACTCAGTTTCAATGTGACATCCCAGCCAAGGAGGCGCGGTGCCGTCCCAGCTGAGAACAGGGTGGTACTAACTCGATTCGGATGCCTCTTCCAGTGGTGGTTTCCTCTCTGGCTTGGAACTTCTGGCTTGTGACTTTGGTGTCATTTCTGAGGGCCCCGCCTGTCCCCCCTCCACGGGTGATGACTCCTGGAACTCGGGTTCGTCCAGATCTGAGGGCAGACAGGAGAGAGGGAGAGGATGTACTTTGCTGCAATTTGACCTGGAGGCTGGCTGCCGGCTGCCTCTCACAGCTCTGCCTGCCTCAGTTCCTCGTGAGGAGGCCCCGTGCCTGTTCACCCCCTCCAGAAACGTCTTTTTTTTTTCCCCCTTCCATCCACCCCTTCACATCCTCACTGTGTGGGAGGAAATTTGGGGGTGGATCCCACTTTCCTGCTCAGCCTTCGAGGCTGTGCTGAGTGTCTGGCCTATGTGCACCCCATTCCCTGACTCTCAGATTGAAGGGATGGGTGGCCCCTCCAGGCCAGCAGGTGAATGGACAGGACATGCGTGGGAGAGGTCTGTGGGGTCTCCTGGAGTGTCGGGGACTCACATTCCAGAAGGACAAAGGCAGAGGCCCAGGTCAGCCCCTGCGGCATGCCTGAACCTACACTCCTACCCCCATACAAGTCATTCCTTTCCTTTTCAACTTCACACCTGGCAGTGCTCAGAGCTTACTCTACCTCTGTGCTCAGAGGTCACTCCTGCCCGGAACTGAACCCTGGTTGGCTGTGCGCAAGGCAAGTATACCACCTGCTATAGTCTTGCTCCAGCCCTCCCCTTAGCCCCCCACTTCCAGGTGGGTCATTTGGTCATGCCGCTCTGAGACCCCCACCCTGGGCCCCACTCACATTTGTTTTTAACTATTTCTGTGTGAATGTAGGGTGGGGTACTGGCTATGGCGATGCTGTCACTCACCAAGCCCTTTTCCGCTCCAGAGGGCTCAGCACCCCCTCATTCTGCCCAGGACTGAGAGCAAAGGTCAGGACTGAGACCCCCCCCCCGCCTGCCCCTCCCCCCACCACACAGGTTCCAACCCCACCTTGGGGGGGGACCCGAAGCAGAAGCAGCCTTGTCACCATGGAAACCTCGGGTCTGCTCACCTGAAATGCTGGGGGTGGAGGGCCGCTGGCCCCCAACACACAGGGCCAAGAAGGTGGGCCTCCGGGGCGGCCGTGACTCTAGGCTGGTGGCCCCCAAGCCGGCCGCTCTCTTGGGCTCCTCAGAACCTTGTTTCTTCAGGGAAAAAACCCTCTTGAGGCTTGTCTTTCTCTCTGATGGTTTCTTCTTGGAGGGTAGGACCGGGTTTGGCTCAAACACCTCTGGCAGAGGAGCTTGAAGTTGCTGTGGGGAAGATGTGAGAAACTGAGGCAGGGGAAGAAACTTGGGGAGACGGGAAAGCACCCCCCCCAAAAGTGACTGAGAGCCACCAGGCCCCCAGGGAGGGGACAAAGTCCAGAGACTGGAGTGGGGACAGAGGTGGGCGGGTGGATAGGGCTGGGGCAGAGACAGGGGGAGGAGAAGGGTCAGGGAGGGGAGAGTCACATAGCCCCAGGGCCCAGCAGCTGGGTGTCTGCTCACCTCTATTTCATACTGGTCTCCCACTCTTTGGAGGAACTTCACGATCATCTGGATGACGGCCTCCTCTGGAGAAAGCAGATGCACACGGCCCATTAACCCTCCCCAAGGCTGCAGAACCCTCGCCAGTGGATATAGGGGCTGGGAAACAAAGTGTGCCTTTTGAATTCCACATCTAGGGTTCCCCGGGCCATGGGAGTGGAGAAGCCCCGTCCCAGAAGGTCAGAGGTGCTCAAGGAAAGGGCCCCCAGGAAAAGGCCGCAGGTTTTATGTGTTTATGTGGGTAAGGGGCAGGTTTTGTGTGACTATACCAGACAATGCTCTGGCCTGACTCTTGGCTCTGTGCTCAGGAATCAGTCTGGTGGGACCCATGGGTGGTGTTGGGCACCAAACTGGCAAGTGCCTTATCCCCCTTGTCCTGTAGCTATGACCAGTCAAAGCTGCGCTTTTTTTGTTTTTTGTTTTTTTTCTTTTGTTTTGGGGTCACACCCGGCGATGCACAGGGGTTACTCCTAGCCCTGTATTCAGGAATTGCTCCTGGCAGTTCTCGGGGGACCATACGGGATGCTGGGAATTGAACCCAGGTTGGCTGTGTGCAAGGCAAATGCCCCTAACCACTGTGCTATTGCTCCAGCCCAAAGCTGCGGTTTTACACAGGAAATTTAGGTCGGCCATCCAAACTTTCCCCTGGTGCTGCCCTTCCCCGCTGAACCTCACAGATCATTTGTCGTGCTTTTGCAGTGTGGGGAATACAACTGAGAGTCCCACACTCGCAACAGCCACCTCCCATGCACGTCACTAACGTGACCAGAGCTCGGCGAGCAGCTCACTGCCTCCCCGAGGTCGGTTTCTCTTCCACCAGGGGATGCTTAGGACTCGTGTTTCCCAAGGGGCTCTGGGGACAGAGGGGACACTGACTCGATTCAGAGACTGTGTCCTGGGCCAAAACCTCTTCGGGTGTCTGGCTCTTCGCTCGTCTGGGGTGATCATCCGCGGGGCTAACATCCTCCGCCTCTGGAAACAGGGTCTCAGAGACTTCAGCTTCTTCCAAACCTGAGGAGGAAGATGAAATGAGGGTTTGTTTCATAGATCTGAGGGCGTCACTTCACATACACATTTGCAGAGAAGACAAGGCTTGCTCAACGGCCAGCTCAGCAGTGGCCTTACTGGGGTGCAGGCAGCAGTGGACAGGGCACCCCGAGTCCTTTATGAATGGTCCTTCCCAGCCTTTCCTCCCCTCCCTCCGTGCTCACTTCCCATTCCTCCATCCTGGCTGAAACACCAGCTGAAAACTTGACACAGGGTTCCAAGGCACAAATTGGTGTGTGACAGCTAGTGTCCCCCAGCAGGAAAGCCCTTCCTTGGGACTGAAATTCTACCACTGACTTGTGTCAGCTGTGCTGTCCTGAGGCCTGAGAGGACCCCTTGGTCAGGAGGTCCTGCGGGCTGCTCTCCCCACGCCAGGCGGCCCTTCCTGCGGGGCCCACCCTGCACCTCTATTCCCTCAGTTCTCAGATGCTGACGGTGTCAAGGGCCTTACCCGAGGGCTCTGAGCATGGAGGGGACAGACCTACTCATTGGGTTGGGGCTGCCTTTGCAGAAAAGGGGCCTGAGGAGAATCAAGGATGTCCTGGTGAGTGTCAGGAGTGTCCTGGTGAGGGTCAGAGGGTCTTGGTGAGGGTCAGGGGGTCCTGGTGAGGGTCAGGGCATCCTGGTAAGGGTCAGGGGTATCCTGGTGAGGGTCAGGGGTGTCCTGGTGAGTGTCAGGGGGTCCTGGTGAGTGTCAGGGGTGTCCTGGTGAGGATCAGGGGGTACTGGTGAGGGTCAGGGTCAGGGGGTCCTGGTGAGGGTTGAGGGGCCCTGGTGAGGGTCAGGAGTGTCCTGGGTAGGATCGGGGAGGGCCCTGCCCCTGGTACTGTTTACGCTTCCTCCTGCAGGGTTGAGGTCCAGGCTTCTGAGGCTGAGGCTGAGGACATTTGGGAGGAATCCTGAGCCGCTCCCTCTAGGCCCTTAACCATCTGTCCAACCTCAGTGAGAGCCCCTGTGTGGAGGTCACCTGCTGAGACTCCCCCTCTTTCTGCTCTTTACTGCCCCCTCTACAGTGCTCAAGGTACAACAAAAGTCAGAGGTGGGAGGGCAGCCCCGGGCCGGCTGCCATGTGGCTGTGATCTGCTCACCTGAGCCGCTGGGGATGGAGGGCCGCTGGCCCCCAACACACATGCCCAATAACGTGGGCTTCCGGGGCGGACGGGACTCTGGGCTCGCAGCCCCCACGGCCCCCGTTCTCTTGGGCTCCTCAGAACCTTGTTTCTTCAGGGAAAAGACCTTCTTGAGGCTTGACTTTCTCTCCGGTGGTTTCTTCTTGGAGGGTGGGCCTGGGTTTGGCTCAAATACCTCTGGCAGAGGGACTTGAAGTTGCTGTGGGGAAGATGCAAGAAACTGAGGCAGGGGAAGAAACTTGGGGAGACGGGAAAGCACCCCCAGGAGCCAATGAGAGCCACCAGGCCTCCAGGGAGGGGACAGAGTTCAGAAACTGGAGTGGGGACTGAGGTGGGCAGGTGAAGGGGGTGAACTGGGGCAGAAACGGGGAGAGGTAGGGAGTGGGGAACCGCACAGTCCCGGGGCCCAGCTGCTGGGTGTCTGCTCACCTCTATTTCATACTGGTCTCCCACTCTTTGGAGGAACTTCACGATCATCTGGATGACGGCCTCCTCTGGAGAAAGCAGATGCACACGGCCCATTAATCCTCCCTGAGGCTGCAGAACCCTCACCAGTGTAGGGGCTGGGAAACCAAGTGGGCTCTTTGAATTCAATGGGGGGGGGGGGGGGTCTACACCTAGGGCTGCCCGGGCTGTGGGAGTGGAGAAGCCTTGTCCCAGGGAGGATCCCCAAGAAGGCCAGAAGTGCTCAGGGCATGGGCCCCCGGGCAAAGGCCATAGAGGGCCCCACCATCCCCTTTGAGCTTTACAGATTATTGACATCTGCTCAGGGCTCTGGTGGGCACCTCACTTCACCTCGCCCTTCTTCTGCAAGGGGGTCATTCAAGACCCAAGGGGCTCCGGGGAAGGAGGGGACACTGACTCGATTCGGAGACTCTGTCCTGTGCCAGGTCCTCTTCAGGCATCCGGCTCTTTGCTTGTCTGGGGTGGGTGTCCAGGGGGCCCTCATCCCCCGCCTCTGGAGACAGCATCTCAGGGACCCGAGCTTCTTCCAGACCTGAAGAGGAAGATGTCACGAGGGTCTGATGGCATCACTTCACAGACACACATTTGCAGAGAAGACAAGACTCGCCCCGTGGCCAGCTCAGTAATGGCCTTGCTGGGTGCAGGCCCATCCCTTTGCCCTCTACGAACGGCCCCTGCTGGCTTTCTCTCCACTCTCTCTCCCTGCTACTTTCTTGCTTCTCCATCTTGGCTGAACCATGAGTCAAAAAATCAGTGGGGCCCAGCGCATCGCTCAGTGACTTACAGTGTGTGCCTTGCAAACATGAACTTTTAAAACTTTTTCTTATTAAACTTTGTGGTTTTGGCATCTGGGGCCTCACCTAGTGTATCTCCTTGCTCACTCTCTGGGAGGAGTCCCCTCCAACCCTCCAAGAAGAAACCCCCAGAGGGATGCTGGGGGACTGCACAATGCCGGCGATCAAGCCTATAGTCTCTCAAAGATTGCATTCATCTGGGGAATATAAAGTAACAAAATAGGAGACTAACACTCAAGAATAGCCGAGACAAGTGCCAGGAGGTTCACTCCATGGCCTGGAGGCCAGCTGCACATGCTAGGGGAAAAGGCAGCTCAGATAGAGATGGGAGCACCAAGTAAAGGGTGTTGGGAGGATCCTCCCAGAATGGGAGATGCATGCTGAAAGTAGGCTATAGACCAAACATGATTGCCACTCAATGCCTCTTTTGCAAACCACAGCACCCAAAAGGAGAGAGAGAACAAAAGGAAATGCCCTGCCACAGAGGCAGGGTGGGATGGGGGGATGGGGTGGGATGGGAGGGATACTGGGATCAGTGGTGGTGGAGAATGGGCACGGGTGGAGGGATGGGTACTCGATCATTGTATAACTGAAACCCAAGCACAAAAATCTGTAGTCTACAACTGTACCTCATGGTGTTTCACTAATAAAAATTAAAAAAAAAAAAGCCTAGAGTCTCTCACGCAAAGCTAGTGCCAGCCCTTTGGGCCTCTCCCTGGCCCACGTTCTTGAGTCTAGCCCCAGGCATTCCCGTGTGCTCTGAGCGTGATTCTCGTAGCGCTGCTCTAGGAACCCGTGCATTCTCTGGGCTGTCACCTCCATGCGGCAGATGACTGCCACCCGCCACCACCTCTGTGTGGGCACCACCATAAAGGGACGTGACCACCACTAAAAGATATGTGAACCCACAGCCTGAAAGGGTGACCTCTGCTGAGTCTGTATGCGCCGAACATGTATGTGCTGAGCACGTATGTGCTATATTTCCAAGCATGTATGTGCCACATATGCATGTGCAGGGCATGCATGGGCTGATCATGTGTGTGATGCACATGTATGTGCTGAGCATCAACGTGCTAAGCATGCATGAACTGCGCATGCATGTTCCAAGCATGTGTATGCCGAGAATGTATGTGCTAAGCACATATGTGCTATATTTTCGAGCATGTATGTGCCACATAGGCATGTGCCAAGCATGCATGTTCTGAGCATGTATGTGACACACATGTATGTGCCAAGCATGTGTATGCTGAGAATGTACTGCTGAGCATGTATGTGCTGTATTTCTGAGCAGGTATGCCTGAGCATGCATTCTTCAGTGGGGAAGGGTCTTCGTTTGCGGAAGTCTCAGATGAGTCAGGGAGTCTCTGCTCCTCCTGCATGGCTGCCATGGGCAGGGCTGATGCCAAGGTTTCAGAGGCCAGGAGGAATCCTGAACCTGTTCCACTGGGCCCCTAACTGTCTTCCGAGACCTCTGTGAGGGCCCATGTGTGGAGGTCACCAGGACACCTGCTAACACCCCCTTTCTCCTCTCCACAGACCCCTCTGTCCCCCAGTGCTGAAGGCTCAAGAGAAGTCAGAGACAGGAGGGCAACTCTTAAGATGGCCAATCCCGGGGGGGGGGGGGGGGGAAGGCTGGAGAGCTAATACAGCAGGCAAGATGCTTGCCTTGCACAATTTCACCCAGGTTTGATCCCTGCCACCCATATGGTTCCCAAAGCCTGCCAGGAGAGATACCTGAGCATAGAACCAGGAGTAGGCCCTGAGCACAGTCGAGTGTAGTCCCCAAACAAACAAAAACAACCAATTCCAGCTCTGCAGAAGGTTCCAGAGGTCAACCCAGATGTAGTGTTTCTATGGCAACCAAGGGCCCCACTCACCAGAGCTGCTGGGGGTGGGAGTTCGGTGGCCTCTCTCAGGTACGGCCAAGCAGGTGGGTCTCTGAGGCGGCTGGGTCCCTGGACAGGTGACATCTGTATTTCCTGCTGCATTCTGTGGGGGGGAGATGAGAGAAACGGAATCAGACCCCAGCCCTGAAGAGAGAAGGAAGTGCCCCCAAGAAGCGAGAGAAGCGACCACAGCTGGTGCTCCGGTGATGCCCGAGGTGTTGGAGCCCACAAGGGCCTGAGGCCTGGAGTGCAGACAGCACTGAGCAGGGAGGCGGGGTGGGGAGCAGGGGCTTACACTCGTGGGCATCCCCTTACCTGTTTTTCACACAACTCTGCCACCTTTTTGAAAAATTCCACTATCGTCTGGATAAGGGCATCCTCTGGAAGAAAGCAAATAGAATGTGTTGACTGTTAGAATCTCACACTTGCCCAGAGAGTGATACCACCTTCCAGGGGTGCTGGGATGATATGGGTGGGTAGGAGGGGGGTGCTGGTAGTAGCTTCAGGTGCAAGTGGGGGGAGCACTTTTTGCTTGTTCACTTAAAGACGCTAGGTTTCCAAAAGCGTATTGAGTTTCCCCATAATCCCCCACCTTAAAAAGGAGGAGTAGCCACCTGGGAAATCAGTTTGGGAACCTATGTCCTAGTTTCAGAGATTCCTTTCCAATGACTTAGATTTGTGAGACCAAGGCGGGTCTTTTGTAGTACATGAAACTCCTCTTAAACCAGCAACCTAAACTTTGGGATATTAAGCTGGGGGACGTGATTGGGTAGAAAGTATTTTTTTTAATTCATTTTCCTCCTACCCTACAACCCCTGCCCACTCCCCCTCAATGCCAAACTACAACAACAACAACAAAAACCCAGCATCCTAAGATTCAGAGAAATAGCCTGGGGCTTAAAAGGCTGCCTTGGAATCATTTGGTCCTGAGTTCAAATCCCAGGAGTCTCACATGCATCAAGCACAATACCAAGTGTGGGAATTCCCCAAGCTAGAGTGTGGCCAAATTTGATAGCACCACAAAGGGTGTGACCCCTGGCAAAAACTTCCCTAAAGTGTGGCGAGCATGTGTGAGCACAGCCGCTTCCCCTTGGCAAGTTCCACCAACCACCCTAACCATGCGCCTCGGGTAAGAGTGTGACTTGCAGTGAAGCAAGTGGTAATACTGAAAATAAAGGCACGCAAATTGCAGTGTGGCGAGAATCGTGGCTACTCAGGTGTGTGAGTCCCGGAAACGCAGCGAATTCTACTCACTGTCAGGCTTCCTGAGCTCCTCATCTGGCTGGCGGCGGCGGCTTTGGGCGAGCACGGAGTGGTGGTAACTGGCCCTTTCCCTGCCTGGAATGAAGACAAGAATAAGCACGCTGGGTGCGCAGTGCAGTCCTGGCTTTGCTGGCCACCACGAGAGGCAGGCTCAGAAGTCTGAGCGGGACAGGCACTGCAGAGACAGCTGCAGACTTAACCCACAGATCCCAAGCCTGCCAACGGATCCCAAAGGTTCCATTTCTTTTCAAAAGACACAGCCTTGGGCTGGAGATGCGGCTTGACGGCAGAGTACTTGCCTGGCATGTGTGTGACCCTGAGTCTGATCCCTAGCACCACATGGCTCCCTGGAGCACTCCCACCTGAAGTAACCCCCACAACTCTTTCTCTCTCTCTCTCTCTCTCTCTCACACACACACACACACACACACACACACACACACACTGCAAAAACAAAAACAAAACAAAAACACCTTAACTAGATATCTCCCACTCCTCCTTCTCCCAAAACATCCTGCTCCTGGGGGTCTCTTCCCCTCATTCAAAACATTTGAGGGGTGCTCCCAAGCAGTGCTCAGAGAGCCCCAGGGCCATTCCCTGCCATTCACAGCCCATGGGTTGATCTTTTCATGGCAGAGCCTGAGGATGTGGTACTGATCGGGCCCACAACGCCGGGATCCATCAGGGCTCTCACCAGCATTCCCCAAGGGTCTCCCGGGAGAGACCTGGATGAGTGGGAGACGGTGTGATCTGGGCTCGGCTGCATGCAAGCATGACCTACGCCCCCTAGTATCTCTCCAGCCCTGAGCTAAGTTTTGAGGGCTAGAAGGCCAAGCTCCATCTTTCTCCGGGCACACCTGGCTCCAGGGTCCTAGAGCCAGGAAAGGAAGATGCTGGGACACCAGCTCCCTCTTTTCACAGATGGACAATGGAAGGTTCCAGAGTGGGGCAACCACGGTACTCAAGACATTGACGGTGGAGAGAAGAGTAGAGCCTATGGCCAGCAGCCAGCCCACCTATTTCCCACCCTCTGTGCTCACCCTCCTCCCTTCCCTCTGCCTAAGCATCTCTCCCTGGGCCAGCGCGCTCTGCAGGATCCGCTACAAAATCCCTGGGAATGCCCAGAAGCACGTGTTCCTGGTGCTAGCTCTGGGCAACGACTGTCTCCATCTTCATAGGGGCAGGTGGGGTTCTGGGGGAAGCAGATCAGAGACAAAAGCTGACAGCCAGGCCACCCGGCTGTGACGGATGGAGTTAGGAGTCCCCAAAGCTGTCCCAGGTCCCACATTCCCTTCCTGAGACGTCTAAGGAGCCCCCTGCCCTGGGGAATGGGGTGGACGTAGGGGGGTGTCCCTGGAGAAGGGCCTGCTTTGCTCACCCCTGCGCACTGGACCCCGGGGTGCCTCCTCGGAGTGGGGGGTGCTGGCCTTCCCGGGGGGTGCTGCCTGGTGGCCTCTGGCTTCCTGTTCCTGGGCCCCCAGGGTCTCCCTGGCCTTGGGTCTTCCATGGCCCCCCTTCTTGTCCGGGGCCTTCTTCCTGGGCACCGGCAGCTCTGGGTCAACGGGGCTCTCCGTGGGTGACGGGTGGCCTTCCTTGCCCTTATTTTTCCTGCCGGTCTTTTCTTTGGGCTCCTCTGGCCCCAGTCTCAGGACAAAGTTCAGCATGTTCCTCAGCCAACTCTTCTGGGCCTTGTCTTTCTTGTTGTCCTGTGCTTCAGGGAACTGCTCCTTGCAAGATTCCTCCGGGACGATCGTGGGGGTGCTCCCGCCAGTGTCTGCTGACTGAGCTGGGCTCTCCTGGCTTCCGGCTGATAGACTCCCACAGGGGGTGGTGGGCAGGGACAGGCACCGGCCGTCTCCCGATTCTGCATCCATCCTGGGCCTCTGCAACCTGTCCAGGGAGCTGGTTCTCCTACCTGGCGGAGGCGTCCCTGTGGCCCGCAGACGCTCCATAGGGCTACAACCAAAACAAACAGTCCCCCTGAGTAGAGGACCCCCCAAGAACCAACAAGATCCCCACTGCCTCCCATCCCCTCACCCCCTGTATGGGAGCGGCGGTTGCCTCTGGAAGCTGCTGATTTTGGTTTCATTTGTCTTTGTTTGGGGGTCACACCCAGTGATGCTCAGGGGTTACTCCTGGCTCTATGCTCTGGACCATTCCTTGGGAGCCCATCTGGGGTGGTGGGGATGGAATCCGGGTCAGCTATGCAAGACAAGCACCCTACCCACTGCACTATCTCTCTGGCCCCTATTGTCTTTAGAATCCTCCACCACCCCATAGAATAAGGGAGCTCCTTGTCCTTATTTTCTAGGAGAGGAACCTGAATATAGGGGTGGGAAGGGTGTTTCAGGTATTCGGGTGCTCCCCTAGGAAGCTGGCACTTGTTCAAGAAATACAACATGTGAACACACACACACACACACACACACACACACACACACACACTTTGTAAACAGCACCTGAGATATCTCAGGCTGCTAGCATAGAAAGAACGTGTCTGGACCCACCGTTTCTGGAGCAGCGGAGTAAAACACTGCCCAGGAAATGGGGGGGGGGGGGGATCTTGCCCGGTCAGAGCAAGGAGGTACTGGTGGCAAGTTGTGCCCTCTGCCTGTCTTTCACCAGAAACCTTGGGGCTATTCAATTTCTTTAAAGTAGTTCAGAGGGGGGCCGGAGTGATAGTACAGCAGGAAGGGTGCTTGCCTTACACACAGCCAACCTGGGTTAGATCCCCGGCATCCCATATGGTCCCCCAAGCACCGCCAGGAGTAATTCCTGAGTGCAGAGCCAAGGGTAACCCCTGTACATTGCCAAGTGTGACCAAAAAAGAAAAAAAAAAGTTGTTCAGAGATTTTTTCCCTCTTTGAATATTAAGACACAGCAAAGATGGTTTTAAGCCCCTGGCCTCTCAGAGACCATGGTGGATTTCAGAATCACGGGTTAATCACTCCGGTTTCTGATTTCCACCTTGCCACCTCTCTGGGCATGGAGCACTGTTGAGTTGCATTCTGCTAGGAGTGACCCCTGAACTCAGAACCAGGAGGAAGCCCCAAGTACCACCAAGTGCAGCCCCCAACCAAATAAAGAAACGAACAAAAAAGAAAAGATTCTCCATGACTCTGCTCAGCTTAGAGGCCAAAACTAAGACTCTCAAACTGTGACTTCATATGTGGAGATGGATCTGAGAGGGAGGAAGATTCGTAAAGAGCGAGAAGGAAAGGAAAATGCAGGAATGGGAGCACAAACGTCCCAGATGTGGCGCTGTCTTTCCCCTGTGAGCTGGCGCTAGCGAGGGTCACCTGAGGCCATCAGGCAGTGCAGGCACCGCTGGGGCACCACACATGGAAAGTCTCAGGGGAAAATGAGCAAAGGGGAAGGTCAGGAGGAAGCCGGTAACCTGAAAGACTTTGTTGGTCGTTTCACTCTTAGGAAATGCATCTGGATTACACATGTCGATTCCGTCTACGAAACAGGATCCTGTTCTTGAAAGTTGCGGGGCTGACTATGGCTATGTTTCCGGACCCCATGGTGGGGGTGGGGAGAAGGACAGAAACCCAGAGACCTTAGGAGAAAGTGGCATTTGCTTCTTACTCATCTTTGTCAGCAGACATTTAATCAGCACCCACTTTGTGCCAAAGTTTGTGCCTAGAGTTTGCTACGGGTATGAGCGAGCTCGATGCCCTTAAACATTCTCTGGTTTTCTTCTTCTTCTTTTTTTTTTTTTATGTAGGAGTACTGCTATTTATTCAACCACTGATTAGCTGATTGAATTGGGCATGGATTCCACTCTCTGGTTTTTCTTAAATGGGTAGGAATGGGGACATGGGTAAGTGTGAAGATAGTAACATGCTAGTCCCTGATCTCTCTCTCTCTCTCTCTCTCTGTCTGTCTCTCTCTCTCTCTGTCTCTCTCTCTTTCTCTCTCTCTTCTCTCTCTCTCTCAGCATATAATTTTATTGGGGTGGGGGGAGAGTGGTGGGTTGGCCCATACCTGTTCAGGATTTACTCCTGGCTCTGTGCTGAGGGATCACTCCTGGCAGGGCTTGGGGGACCCTATATAATGTGGGGGATCAAACCAGAGTTTACTGTGTGCAAGGCAAATACCATTTTACTTGCACTGTTTTTCTGGCCCCACGTACATAATCTTAAGAGAAATTAAATTGGGACTAGAGAGATGGTAAAAAGGGTAAGGCTTTCCACCTTTCAGGAAACTGGCCTGGGTTGGATCCCTAGTACCCCATATGGTCCCTGATTACACCAGGAGTGATCCCTGAGCACAAGGCCAGGACTACATATGGGGGTGCCCCCAAAACAGAAACAAAGAAACAAAAGGGAAATTAAAATTTATATAATATTATGATATAGCATAATAATATAAATAATAATTCACGGTCATGGTCCTCCCATTGTTCATCGATTTGCTCGAGCGGGCCCAGTAACGTCTCCATTGGAGACTTTGTTGTTACTGTGTTTGGCATATCGAATACGTCACGGGGAGCTTGCCAGGCTCTGCCATGCGGGCGAGATACTCTCGGTAGCTTGCCGGGCTCTCCGAGAGGGGCGGAGGAATCGAACTGGGGTCGACCATGTTGGCTGCGTGCAAGGCAAACGCCCTACCGCTGTGCTATCGCTAATAAATGAACTGGAGCGATAGCACACTGGATATGGTGTTTGCCTTGCACGTGGCCGACCTGGGTTCGAATCTTCCGTCCCTCTCAGAGATCCCAGCAAGCTACCAAGAGTATCCTGCCTGCATGGCAGAGCCTGGCCAGCTCCCCATGGCATGTTCGATATACCAAAACAGTAACAAGTCTCACAATGGAGACATTACTGATGCCTGCTCAAGCAAATCAATGAACAACGGGAGGATAGTGCTACAGTGCAATATAACAAATATATAATCACTGTCACTGTCACCGTCCTCCTGTTGTTCATTGATTTGCTCGAGCAGGCCCATATTATATATAATGTGTATAATATATCACACATCACATATATAATAAAAATATACAATATAATGAATAATATAAATAATATAAAATTATTATAATATAATATTATTTGCTATATTATTGCAAATAATATAATAAATTAATAACAAACCATAATAAATCGCAATTTATTAATTACAATCAAAGTAATAAATTAATTGATTTAATTAAAACAATTAAAATTGTTTTAATTAAAGCAATCAAAACTTAATTAAAAATCAGGGTTTCCCTTAATTAAAACCTAATTGAGTGAATTCCAGCGGGTAGGGCGTTTGCCTAACAAGCGGCCAACATGGCCGACCCGAGTTCGATTCCTCCGCCCCTCTCGGAGAGCCCGGCAAGCTACCCAGAGTATTCGATATGCCAGACACAGTAACAACAAAGTCTCCAATGGAGACGTTACTGGGCCCGCTCGAGCAAATTATTTTAATTAACCTAAATTAAATTTAGGTTGAAGTTTTATTTAACCCTCAGATCCTAGAAAGTTGAGCCAGAACTATTTTGTGAGTGATGTCAGGGTCCTCTCTTCCCATTTTTCCCTCTTATCAGAGTGAACCGAATGGGGTCAGCAGCGACGCTGTTCTAGAACAAAACCTCCCAAGTAGCTGAAGAAGAGTTGGGATGCCGCTCTCGGGCTGGGCCCCTCTTCCTGTCCTGCCTGGCAGAGGCCTGAGCATCCTCCCTATGGCTGGGACAAGATGCGTGACCGCTTTTATTATTTGTTTAGTCTTGAATGAACCTTGATTCAAACACCTCGATTTACAAAGTTGTTTCACAATGCAATTGTATTTTAGGTATTTAATATTCCAACTCCAAGTCCACCAGCAATGTGCTCTTCTCTCCAAAAATATTCCCAGTTTCCCAGCTACCAGCCCCTCCTCCGCCTCTCCTCCAAAGCCTGTTCCCTTAGCAGGTGCAAAATAATTTACTTTATATTGCTTGTTACAGGGCTGGAGCAATAGCTCAGCGGTAGGGCGTTTGCCTTGCATGCAGCCAGCCTGGCTGAGCCGGGTTCGATTCCTCCGCCCCTCTCAGAGAGTCTGGCAAGCTACCGAGAGTATCTCGCCTGCCCATGACATATTCAATATGCCAAACACAGTAACAACAAGTTTCACAATGGAGATGTTACTGGGCCCGCTCGAGCAAATCGATGAACAACGGGAGGACAGTGTTTGTTTGTTTGACAGTGCTTGTTACAACATATATCTCATAATGGTGCTGCTAAGGTCCTTGCCTGAAGATTGATGGAGCTGTTAGGTGTGAGTTGAGTCTTCCGTGTTATTGTTTGCAATTATTGAGCTTAGTGGACTTCGACTCAATTTTCTTGGCTAATTTTCTGTGCTGGGCTGTCAGCTCTGCAGAGGTTGGAGGTGTTTTGTGGCAGCATTTTTTGGTTTTTCTTTTTGCTACTTGGGTCACTCCTGGTGATGCTCAGGGGGTATTCCTGGCTCTGTACTCAGCACTCCTGAGCAGAGTCAGAAATGGTCCCTGAGCATCACAGGGTCTATGCCACTTTCCCTCCCATCCCAAAGCTGCAATGGAAATGGTTTTGGTTTTACCCTTGTCCCAGCACCCTCAGCCCCAAACATACACACACTCTGAAATCAAGGACAAATTCGCACTCCTAGCCAGAGCACCAAGACATCCCAGCAGGCAAGGGTTTCACTTCTGGAGTTCTATTTTTTCAGTACTAGATATTGAACCCGGGTTGTCACACATGTACCTGCTGCACCCCGAAGCCACGCCCCAGAGTGATGCTTTAGTCAAGAAAACTGTGAGCGGCTGGAGCAATAGCACAGTGGGTAGGGCATTTGCTTTGCATTTGGCCAACCCAGGTTCGATTCCCAGCATCCCATATGGTCCCCCGAGCACCGCCAGGAGTAA